TATTTTACCAAACTCAATGGGAAAGAACTATCATTTTGTCTCTCCTTTTCCATCTCTTTTTTTTTTCACTTGTGTACTGTTTTGGGTAGCACTTCCACAACGATGTTATATAATAGTTGTCATGGGCATCCTTGCCTTGTTCCTATATTTAATAGGCTTTTATCAGAGAATATGATAGGAAACAAAATGAACCTCCCAATTCATACCCATCCTTCTCACTCTATTTCTACCATCTATACTGTCTTGTACACCAAATGCCCACTGTTTCACCCAACAATTTTTGTGAACAATCTGCTTCAGAATAAGCCTTAAACCCCTCTACTAGACCAAAGTCTGGGCACTTGACTCAAGGTCTCACCTTGGACCCAGACGCCAGCCTGCCTCCTAGCTGATCATACTTCAAGGAAGTGATGGCTGCTTTGTGTCCATTGAAGGTCACATTTCCTTCCCCACTCAGGAGACTGAAGATTCGGATAGACCCATCCTCATAACCAACAGCTAAGTGCAGCCCATCTGGGGAGGGGCACAAGCAAGTGACTTCTTGTTTAAGCCCCTGAAGGATGAGGATCTGAAATCATAATAATCAAAAACAGTGTAGAGGAGTTAAGCATGTCATCAGGGAAAAGCGTGGGAATAATCAAGCACAGTAAAATTAAGAGCATCACTAATTCCAAATCACTCTTAAGAATAATAATAAAACTCTGCAATCCATCTCAAGTTCTTTAATATAGGGATTATTATTTGTACCGAGCAAGGAAACATTCAAAAAAAGGTAAAATTATTTTCCCCAAAGCTATACATTAGCATAATACATGCAAAAATTCCCCAGGCAATGGAATAAATTACTAAGTCCCGATCCTATGTCAACACCAAATGCCTTTCCATAAAGGGTTATAAACACATCCTTGCTTTAACTGAGCCCCATCTTGTAAGAAACCCACTTGCACGGCATCAGAGTGCTATAGTGGTTTATCCCCAAGGGACCCAGGTGGCAACACGTACCAAGGTATTAAACTCTTGGAAGTCATATAGTGAGTGGACAATATCAAAACACCCGTATAAGTTTGGGAGAAGGGGTAGGCTTACGGAATTCAGAATCACACAAAGTATGAAAGCTTAGTTTAACAACTCTTGGGCCTCATTTGTATAAGTGAGAAAAAGATTCAGTCAACGTAGCAGAATAATATTCCTTTTAAATGCCTAACGCTTTATAACTGGGTTGTGAGGACAAGAGGAACTTGAAAAACAGAGAATTGGTAGAGAAAAACAAACATGTCAGGAATAATGACCAGAAATAATTACCTGTGAATATCACTACAAATAAGATACTTAAGAGGTAAGCTCCTGTTTGGTTGCGGTTTTCAGAATTTAGTGTAAAAGAACACAATAGAACGTGACACTTGGCTATTTAGACCAAAAGGAAAAAAGATTTCTCTCGTGGGGGTGCACACGTTAAAAAAATCTGTGTGTGATCAATCAGAGCTCTCCCACTTCTGCCTCTCCATCCTCAAATACCCATCAACAATTATCAGCCTCATTGATTTTGGGCTTACCTTCTCTCCTTTCCTTAAGTCCCAGATGAAAACATGTTCACAGGCTGGTACTGCCACATAGCGTCCTTTTTCACCACGAAGTGTCACAAAGACAATATTACCTTTTTGGCTGCCAATAAGGCCAAAGACTGCACTGGCAACATAGCGCAGGTACTGCTTGGTGAGTCCCATGTTATGATGTCTGACACCACGAGTGAGGCAGCTGCGCATGCAAACAAAGAAAACTCAGTTCTCTGGGTACCTTGGTCCTGTTAGGCTAGCAAACACCAACCATTTATCATGCAGTTAAAAGCATGTAACTTGTGGCTTCTTAACCTTTCTTTACACTGAACAAATTATTGACATAAAATACCTGGACATCTTCATTTTTGATTCACTGTAGACTCAACATGTAATCCCTCATTCCTCAAGTTTCAAATTGGTCACACTGTCATGCCCACCTCTGACATATGGCCTCAATGCAGCTAAACTATTTGCTTCTGCCCATTCAACCACCATCAAAGTTTTTACACTAAGATTGACAGCCTGAGACTGAAAATATTTATCATCGAACATTTACTGTAAACCTACTAAGTAGATAGGCACTGTTCTAGATGCTAGAGACACAGTGTTGAGAAAAACAAGATCCTTGACCTCATGGCATTTACCTTCTAGCACAGTGGTTCTCAAACTCTAGTATGTATCCAAATCACCTGAGGGCTTATGAAAAGAGACAGCTGGGAACCACCTCCACCTCACCTCCCCAGTGCCTATTTCTGATTCAGTAGGTCTGGGGTGAAGCCCAAGATTTCTCACTTCTAACAAGTTCCTAAGTGATGCTGCTGTGGTTCCTCGCTTTGAAAACTACTGTTCTAGTACATGCAGGTCTGTCCTTGATTTCCAAACCAGGGCAGCGACCTCCCCTTGGCACAGAAAAATGGTACAGCAACTTGGCACACTATTTTTCAAAGATGCCACAGTTCCTGCACTAAATCGAATTCACTGAAAACACTGGTTATGGATAAAACAGACAACAGGTGAAGGACATAACAAGTCAAGCCTGTCTGCTCTTGATATGGAAGAGTGAAAAGTATGTCCCCAAAAACCCATGCAACTCAAAAAACACAAGAATACTAAACAGAAGGTACAGCCTTTTTTGGAGCTGTTTTTTTGTTCTTCTGTTGTTTTGTTGGAGCTGTTGGTTTGTTTGTTTGGTTTAACTCTACAAGATCTCTTTCTGATTACAATCTGCCGTTTTAGTCTACTTTAACAGAAAAATATTCAATGCTAATTCTGCTAATACTTTCTTTTAATAATCACTGACCAGCTTCATTTTTCTTCTCATAGGAACCAACATAAAGCCAGTTAAAAATAATGGAAAGAGGGCCTGGCCCCGTGGCTTAGCGGTTAAGCGCGGGTGCTCCGCTGCTGGAGGCCCAGGCTCGGATCCTGGGCGCGCACCGACGCACCGCTTCTCCAGCCATGCTAAGGCCGTGTCCCACATACAGCAACTAGAAGGATGTGCAGCTATGACATACAACTATCTACTGGGGCTTTGAGGGAAAAATAAATAAAATTAAAAAAAGAATTATGTTTAAAAAAAATAATAATAATGGAAAGATAATACTAACATGATGATAATGTTCTTAGCCTAGGCCAATTCTTTATCAATTCTTCCCCAATTCATCTTATTCCTCCAGCCCCTTAACTGTAGTTGTTCCTCATGGTAGTCTCTGGCCATCTATCAACTCCATCCATGGTAGTTTCCTTGGAGACTTCATACAGCATGCCTAGGCCCAGGGACTCCCACATCTCTATTTCCAGTCCTATTTACATACACTAATACTAATCCTAGAGTCCTCCAAACTTATTAGACATCCCCATTCAAATACCTTGCAGCATCACATTTAACATGTCTAAAACCAAACCTACCTTGCTTCCCGAACCCCTCTCATCTTCTGACTCTTAAAACACACAATCCTCCTAGCCGTTTAGGCTCAAAACCTTGTAGTAACCTTTGGTTCATTAATAAAAAAAATACTACAACAGCTAAGACTTAAAGAGTGCTTACTATATGGAAACTGATATATTCAATGTATATAACTGAGGAAACATATGCAGTTGTTTAATTACATATAGCAACTCAGTTAATTAAATGGATTAATACATGTAAAACATTTAGAAAAGCATCTAGCATACTGTACATATACGCATAAAAAATTCTTCACAATGACCTTACTAAGTGCCATTCTTATCCCCATTTTACAGACAAGGAAACTAAGCACAGAGAAACAGCTAGCCCAAAGTCATCTAGCTAGTTTTAAGTGCCAAAGCCAGATTCCAATCTAGTCAATCTAACTCCAAAATTTCTTCTTCTAACCACTAAGCTAAACTGCTTCTCTTTGTCCTCTCTTTTCGTCAGAAACTTCCACCTGATTGTTTCTCTGAAGTAGGCTCCTTTTCTCTATTCCACTACTTTCTGTTCCAGCTCCTTATCACCGGGTTCCTGCATTAGTATTCTATCTAACACCTCCGCTTCCACGTTTTTTATTCTTTTCATTTACAAGTCATAATACTACCTGACTAATCTTTTCAAAGGCCCTGTCCCTACCCCACTGCCTTTGAAAGGGCTAAACTGTTTGCAGTTTCCAAGAACTCAACCTCTCTATCCTTTATTTCCCGTATAACCTTCTTTCTTGTCAGGCTAGTTGGTTTCCTTCCTTGTCCTGACACCATTCCTTCTTCATATTGTTCCTCGCACCTAGAATAACATGCATTCTCCCGTCTACCTATTTTCATCAGTGTTACCCTCTGAGGCCCACTTCCTTCGGGGCTAGTCCAATTCTCGCAGCCTTTTCCACTGCCTCAATACTTAAACTACCTTGCATTCAACTTGGCACTAGTCACTTGCGTCTCACGTGCACAGATCTCGACGTCTTTTGGAGAAAGCTTACGATCTAATCTTCCTCCGCGCCCCTACCATCCCTGCTTCCTAACCCACAGCCCCTCAAAACATTTGCTTCTGTGATGCACAAAAGGGCTAAGCCGTGGTAACAAACCTGTCAGACGTCCCTAAAACCGAGTCTTCCGTCAGGAGAGGGTGAGAAGGGTGCCGCACACTGACCACGCTGCCGGAGCATCCTCTGGCGAGCCCGTACCCAAGCGGGGTCGGGTATCCCCACAAGGCACGCGCCAGCCCCGCGCGTATGCGGGTGGCCTCCGGGTACGGCGGTGGAACGCTCCCAGTCGCCTAGGTTCCCCCCCCCCCGTTCTAGAGACCAGCCCCAAATCCCCCCGCCTCATCTGCTGCTGACATCTTGAAGGCCTCAGCCAGGACCAGCCAAACCCGAGCAGCGGAGAAACGGCGTTCGGCCGCTGTGCACCCACTGCACTCACCTTGGCCTCCACGAGGCTCCGAAGCGATTGGACCCGCCCACGGGACCCACCCCTTCCGGGTCCGCTCCGGGCCCTCTTCCGCCCGACGTTCCCGTTGCCTTCTAGGAGGAAATGACGTAAGAGCCGCGCTCTGATTGGTGAGGGCAGGCGGGGAGCGGAAGCCGGGGTTTCGCCGCCCAGAGCTCCGGCAGCTGGTCCCTCCAGCCTCCTGGGACTTTGATTCGTCTTACGCGCCGAGCTCCTGGCAAGGGCTGTCCGGGCATGCCGCTCGGCCGCTTTCTACGAGGAGCTTAACCCGCCCCGCCTGCCGTCCGGATGGGACCGCCCGAGTGCTGTGAGAGGCGGGACGGAGGCCGGGAGGGGAGGCGGGGCGGAGCGGGCCGGGGGCGCGGCTGAACGCGCACGGGACGCGGCCCGGGCTGGGGGTGCGAGCGGAAAGGGTTAGTTCTGTCCGCTCTCTGGAAGAATGAGCCGGTCCCTTCTAACGCAGCTGTTGGTTGGGTTCCTGTCGCCCGAGGTGCTGCCGGGGACGACTTATCGACGAGAAGAGAGAGGGTAGGCAGACGCAGGCACAAGAGACAGTGGTGCTGTAGCCCTGGAGAGGCGCGCGCCCCGGGGCCCAGGTGAAATAGGGCGGCCGGGAGCCCTGCCGGTTACAGCCCCAGAGTCGAGTCTGTGTTGCTGCCCCTGTGCACTGAGCATTCCACGAACTGAGAGCAACTAGAGTCAGGGCTGGGTAGACGCTGAGCACAGGATGCTGAGTTGTCTGGATCTCCGCAGTCCCTGGAGTGACATTGGTCTGGCTTTGTGTGTCCGCTCCCTGGCCGCTTGAGGGGGAAGTGACCAGAGCTGACTCCTCCTTGCTTGGTAATTGAGGCTTAGGTGCTCTGTCACCAGGTGGGAATTGGCTTTTCTCTTGATGTAAAAAAATTTTACATATTGAGGTGTATGGGGAAACCATTGGTGTAAACTGGATTTGGCCTAAATTTTATGTGAACCAAAGAAGCCTGATTTAGGGCCTATCAAACATACATTGTACATCTGCTTTAATCATTATCCTAAAGTAAAGAATGTACTCTTTGAAGATAAGAATTGATGCCTTCCTTTTCGTGACCCTAGTACTCTTTGAAGATAAGTCTCTCTTCTCATGACACCAGGGTCACGTTGACCCTCTGTGTACGTGCTAATCTGTAACAAAATTATCTCCTTGAACCCTTGAAAGAATGTACCCCTGCTATGCTTGATATATGTCTCTTTGTTTGGAAATGGTATATAACTGTGCTGAAAATCAGTTTTCTCTGAACGCGACTCTCGGGTTATAGTCCTCAGTTTGGTTCAGTAAAACTCTTCCTTTCTTTTGTAATAGAATGATTATTTGTGTCTATGCTCTCTTGCAGTTCTGTCTGCTTTTATTCTTACGCTGCATAGAAGTATTCAGAAATGAGTTCTGATGTCTATAGCTGTGCAAAATTAACGCTACCAGATAGCTCTACAAAAGAAATAAGCCTCTGCCTTTGCTTACTGAACAAGATATCTGTAGCCAGCCTAGAAATTAGACTTTTATCTACATTATCTGATTTTCTATGGACGTTTCTTGAGTTTTTGAGACATGTTCAGCTAGTCTTCCATATTCAAGAGAATTGCAATAGTAAAGAATGGATATGATGAGACTGTAAATAGATGTAGCAGTGTAGGTGTTTTGAAACAAGATTACTGTGGGTTGGATGAAAAAGGAAGGAAATTGTGGTAACAGACTATTATTTCAGTAAGTTGGTGGGGAAGGAAGCATTTAGGTGGCTGTGTGTGGTTAATATCTCCTACAGGTGATGTGCGTTATATTATCATAGGGAAAAAATGTGTGCTTCAGTAGAAAACGTCCTAGTCTAGATGCTATCTAGATGACACCCCTTGGATTATCTGGTTCTAAGAAAGCTACTTTACAACTGTGTAAACTGTAGATACCTAATGTCACTGCTAAATAATTTTTGTCTATAGACATACAAATTCTGTCCCCTTAGAGGTTCAGTGGAAGTTTTGCCTCCTTATACATTCGTTTCAATATTCCTGATCTATTAATGTGTCCGATTTGGGGATTCCCTTTATCTACCATCTTCCTGGTTCCCTTCTGAGTTAAATAAGATCTTAAACACATGTTCATTTTTATATTTGAATGAGTCATGATTTTACCTTTTTTAAAAGAAATTTTCTTGACTTTATTAAGTATTATGAGAAGGGACAACCAAAAATGGAAAAAATAATTTTAATAAAAGTTGGTGTAAGAGCAACTGCGATTGAGTGCTTAGATATTGCATGTTATAAAATTCCTAGTACGCTATTTCAAGAGTATAACCCTGGTTTCTTATTTAAGTTTCAAATTGCTCAACGTATTAATACTTATTGAAACATAGTAAAGTTCTTTTAACTGAAAGTGTTACTAACTCACTTAAAGCATGTGCTTTGGGTATTTTTGAAGATAGTGTTAAATTTGGCCTGGGCCATTGACATGGCTTGGAAGTATTTTTGTTATACTGTGTTTATTGTTGACATATTGGTTTGTTTTTCCATCTAAGTAACTTTAAAAAGAATGTCATTCTTTCCATTTGCATAGAATGATTCTTAAATATAATAGATTTGGTTTGGGGATGGGATTTTTGCACAATATCTAATGTACCCTGAAGTTTTAAATATTGAAATACAAAGAAAGAATGGTAAACCTGTAATTTATACAAAAACAGTGAAATAGAGCTGGTAATTAATGGAGGTCATGAGCATGGACCAACTCTCTTTGTACTTTTATCCAGGCCTGTCTAGTCAATGTACGCATTTTTCAAGAACAAGTAAACCGAGTTACAGTTCTTGTTTTTCTCTTTTAAATGAAACCATTTTCTTTTTATCCAGACAAAAATCAGGTTTTTTTGGACAGTGATCCAAGGTGTTCTGCCTGGTTTTGCCCAGTTTTGAACAATAAAAATCTAATCTCTCTGACCAACCCAATTATTCATATAAAGCACTATTTAGAGGACTTTTTAAACTAAAAGATGACAAGAAGATTTGAGGAAAAAACCCAGCTGGAGTGTAATGAGAACCATTTATACTCACTATGTGTTTGAATTGTAAAGGATGCATAGTGAGTTCTCTTTGTGTTTAGGTCCTTATCCAGGAAGGTACTGAAGATAACCCTTAAGATACTATGGCTCAGGAAATAGATCTGATCCATTCTGGAATTATTTGTTTGTCCCATGTTGACTTTTTGATCCTGGGACATAAATGTCTTGCTTCAGGATCTTTTTTTACTAAGGTTTTGTGTTTGCTTATGAACCTGTTCAAAGTACAGAACTGATCAATCGATTTTTCAGTGAAAAGTCTTGCTCTTCTTTAATGTTATCCAAAATTCTGGCTATAGCTATAAATTACTGTAGCCTTCCCTGCCTACCTCCCTCACCTGAGCACTCTGTTTGCATTCTATCACTGGGATTCTTAATCTGAATCTGGGAACCCTCTCAAATTTATTTGCAAATGTGTGCTTGTATGAGCTCATATACTTACATTTTGGGTGGTAAAATTATTTATCTTTCTCATGTGATTCTCAAAGGGATCTGTGACTCCAAAAATGTTAAGAACTACTGTTCCTTAAAGATCAGGGATCAGATTTTCCCGCCTAGCTTGGCTTTGCTGCTCCATTTGCTTTATTGCTAAGGTGTGCATGTTGGGGGAGGGGGAGAGTTAAATTTCTTTTTGTTGAGAAAAATCAATTTCTGTTTAAAGATGGAGCTGAAAAAGAATTCACCCTTTGTTAAATGCCATCACACTTTCCATATAATGTCATTAAACTTTGCCCTACAATAACAGCTCTGGAATTATTTATTACTCATTTAACATCCAATGTCTTGTGGGTCACAATAACTTTTAAGATTTGGGGAGAAGATCCAACAAACTATACCGACAAGATGTGATAGGAGATATAGGAGAACCACTAGTGTGTACTGTCAAGGAAGATCATAGAGTTTCAGGGAGGGAGTAATCAATAGCTAAAATTTGATTAGCTCTTAGATTTGACATTTGGGGAGTTATTGTTGACCTTGAAAGAACAGTTTTAGCATTGTGATAGAGATGGAAGCAAAACTGCAGGAAGTTGAATAAGTGGAAGAAAAGGAAGTAGACCTGCAAAAGAGATTCCTCTTAAAAAGTAAAGTGACGAGAAGAGGAGTTTAGTTGGTATTCTGAAGAAGAAATGGAGTAGGAAAATTTTTTGAGAGTAGGAAGACTGAGGGGAAGGAGAGATCAAAATGTTAAAGGGAGAATTGATGTTGTTACATTCTCTTAGAGGACAGCTTGTCAAGTGGAGTAAAAGCTTAAATGAAGGTGATTTGGCAGGCTTAAAAGTGTGCAATACACTCTAAAATCGCTTGGAAGTTGGAAAGAGTGAATAAAGACAGATTTTGAGCTGGAGGGACAATAAGGTACGTACAGTCATACGTCACTTGATGGGAATACGTTCTGAGAAATGCATTGTTAGGCGATTTCATCGTTGTGTGAACATCATAGAGTGTACTTACACAAACCTAGATGGTATAACCTACAACACACCTAAGTTATGCGGTACTAATCTTACCTGCCCACTGTCGTATGTGTGGTCTGTTTTGACCAAAATGTGGTTATGCAGCGCATGTCTGTGATTTGAATGATGATCTTTTTCTCAGAGCATCAGGAAAAGAAGGGAGGCAATGTGGTATGATGTAACAGAATTGGCATCAGTTTTAGTGCCAGCTGGTCTTCAATTTGGATCTCAGGGTGCCACTTACTAGTTGTTACATTGAGTTGATAACTGAACCTCTGGGTCTTGATGCCCTTGCTGTAAAATAAGAGTTCTAGTACCTACTTTATGGGATTTTTGTAAATATGCTTTAGAAAGCATATTTGTAACATATGTAATACCCTGTGACTCACTGTATCTGCCACAGTGGCCTTCTTTCCATTCCTTTAGTGTTTTAGGCTCTTTCTCACCTTAATGCTCCCAGATTTACCGTTTCCTCTGTCTGTAAAACTCTTCTGCTGCTTTTGGTCTTGACTGTCACTGTCTGGAAGAGACATTCTCTGCTTCCCCAGTCTAAGTTAGCTCCCCCCTTGTTCTTCTTTTCAGCACAGTTATCGTAGATTTTAACTGTGTATTTGTTTCTATGATTATATGTTCGTGTGATTTTTGTGGGTCTGTCTCTTCCATTAGACAAGACTCAGCACCTAACAGTGCTTGAAAAGAATGAATGCCTGGGACACAGTGGCACATAAGCATTTATTACCTCACAGTTTCTATGGGTCGGGAATTCAGAAGCTGCTTAGTTGCTTGGTTCTGGTTCAGGGTTTTTCATGAGGATGCAGTCAAGATGTCAGCTGAGGCTGAAGTCATTTGAAGCCCGGCTGCGGCTAGAAGATCCAAGGTGATTCATTCACATGCCTGGCAGTTGATGCTGGCTGTTGGCAGGAGCTCGCAGTTTCTTCCCATAGGAGCCTTTCCATGGGCTGCTTGCGTGTCCCACGTCATGGGAGCTAAATTCCCCAGAGCAAGCAGTCCAAGAGAGAGCATGGCAGAAGCCACAATATCTTTTATGACTCATCCTTGGAAGTCACACACACTGTCATTTCTGCAATATCCTGTTGGTTCCATAGTCCAGCCCTATTCATTATGGGAGACATCTACACAGGGGCATTAGTATCAGGAGGCAGGTATCACTGAAGGACATCTTAGAGGCTATCTACCATAGATGCTATATGGAATAGCATAGACAGTCAACCAAGAATGAGTAAAGTAATTTCTTAATAGTGTTTGTGAAGGGGCCAGCTGACATAGGAAAACATGCATTTGTTTTGACAGCAGACAGGATAATTACTGATTGTTTTTTTCTAGTGGTACAGGAGCAGAATCAAAGAAAACGGATGTTGGGTTGATTTAGGTGTTAGAGATTAACAAGTCATTACAAGGGCAGACATTGAGTTAAGAGTGTATCTTAATTCAACAATTTGTGTTTGGTTTATTTGGTGCTCATGGGTCTTTGACAGTGAGTGTTTTGGTCTTTGCCACACATCGAGACATACCTTTATCTCAGCAGTGGTGCACGTGACTTTCACATTGGCTCTGAGAAAATTAGAACAGCAACTTTTATTTTGCCTTGCCAGGTGCTCTGCTATGCAATTTTAATACAGATTATATCATTTAATCCTTACAATAACCCTAGGAGTGTATTACTCCTGTTTTAGAACTAAGAAAACTGGCTTACACTCAAAGATAACACAACTATGAGGTGGTGGGTCTAGACCTGAACTCAGGCCTTCTGATAACAGAGCCCAAGCTCTTAGATTGTACCTCCTTCCTCTGCTTCACAGTGTAATTGAGAGGGGAAATATTTACCTTAAAATACTAAAGGAACCAGGGTCAAAATTGCACATACATTGTGATTTTGCCTATCATAGAACAAGGTAAGAACTACGTCAAAATTTGAGAGTTTTTTTCCTTCCTTACTTTTTGGTATTTTTCAAATGTTCTGTAAGTGGGTATTACTTAGAGTTAGAAAGAAAAATTATTTTAAAGAGGTAATTTTGTCCTGAAAGTTGGCATTCAGGTTTGCAAAATGAAAACTTAAGTTTGTGTTTCATGGAACTTTTTATATTGTGGTTAAGAAGTTTCAGCATGAGTCATTGTCATAAAATCTGTGAATAATTTTTTGAAATAATGAATTTCTGTGAAATGTCATTCCATTAAGCTTGAGGCAGTTCAACTATGGAAAATAAGTATTGTCTCCATTTGTCCTCTCTTCAGCTCGTCCAGTTCAAGTCTGACTGCTTGTGAACAGGTCAACAGAACTTGTGGTTGCCTCTAGTTTCAAAGGCCAGTTAGATGGACTATACACCAACATCTAGGTAAAATCAGTTTCTTTATTTCAAAATAATTTCAAAGGAGTACTTAGTATAAAATAAGAATAATCTTCTCAGACAGTTTTATCATGGTATAATCTGCAAGGCCTTTCTGAAATTGTTATATAAATGATCACATTTCCTACCACACAGTGTTGGTACAGGAATTAACATATTGTGTCAGATCCATTGTTCATTCCAATTAGTATCCCTTGTCTCTCAGCAAGAAACACCAAGGAATTAGGTTTAGAAGGGCATGCTTGTTCTCCTTTTCTCTTAACAACAAATGTTAGGATCATACAAACTTCTCAAGGAGTTCACGCGCCAGCTTTCGTTCCCTGATCATCTGTCTGCTCTCATATATGTTCAGTGTTACCAGCGACCTTCAACTTACCACACCCACTAATCTGTTCTTGGCCCTATTCCTCAACCTTTCAGTAGCATTTAACCCTAGCTGATCCTTCTTGAGCATTCCTTCTTGAATTACAGTCTTCACTTGGCTTTTAGGCTACCGTACTTTCCTGGTGTTTCTTCCCTTCCTGTCAATCCTTCTTTATCTCATTTTTGACTTGTCCTCTTTCCAGTCTCTAAATTTTGCCTTAGGAATCAGTCTTTGGATCTCTTTTCTTTATTTGCATTTTCTCTCTTGATGATCTTGTCCAGTTCCCAAAGCTTTAAATACCATCCATATGCTGAGACTTCCAAATTTATATTTTTAGCCTGACCTCTCCTCTGAGCTCTAGCCTCATATAGCCAGTTGCATGTTTGACGTAAATACTTGGCCATATAATGGGCATCTCAGACTTGACACATGCAAAAACATATAAGTAAAAAGTACCTTGATTATCACTCCACCCCACAACCTACTCCAGTCTTCCCCTTCTCTGTAAATACCATTACCATCTACTCAATTGCTCAAGCAAAATATCGAGGAGTTATCTTTGATTCTGTTCTTTTCCCTCACCCTTCATATACAAAATACATCCCAAATCTAACCATTTCTCACCATCCTCATCACCCTCGCACCTAGATTACTGCAGTGGCTCTGTCTGGTCTCTGCTTTTATTCTTGCCCCCCCTCCCCGATTTCACTGTAGTCAGAGTAATCTTGTCAAATGTTGTTTCTATTAAGTCGTTATCTCTATCAAGATCCTCTCATAGCTTCCCCTCATATTTACAATTAGATCTAACCTTCGTATCATGGCTTACAAACTGCAACATCTGGCCTTTCCGTCTCTCACAACCTCATCAGCTGCCACTCACTACCTGGCTCATTCTACTCTAGCCAGACCACCACCCCGCTCTTCCTGGAATAGACTCAGCTCCTTCCTGCCCTTTTGGCCTTTGCACTTGCTAGTTCCTCTGCCTGAAACACTCTCCAGAGCTTTCCATGGCTTGTTCTCTCACTTTATTTAGCTCTCTACTCAGACATCACCTTTTCTCTCATAATACTCATTGCCTCTAGTCATTCTGTTAGATACCTGCTTGCTTGCTTATTTATTGTGTATGGTCTCCTCTCGAGGAAACGTAAGTTCTGTAAGGGCAGGGACTTGCTGTGTCTTATTCAACAGTGTATCCTCGGTGCCTAGAACACACAGTACCTAGTACCTGACACATAACACATGTTTATAAAGATGTATTGAATGAATGAATTTACCATTTTACTGAAACAGCTGTCTGACTTATTGGCAAATAAAGTATCCTTTTCTCATGTTAAATTTCCCATGACCTCCCTATAGTACTTGACACTATGTGTCTTCCTAATTCTGCATTCTTCCTCTTTTAATTTTTGCATTTCTATACAAACAACCTCCTACCACATCAGTGTCATATACACCATATCTTACAAATTGTCAAATCCTGTTAATTCTTCCTTTGTATGTTGCCTCTCAAATCCATGCCTTCTTCTCCATCTCCTTCTCTACTTAGTTTAAACCTTTATTGTCTCTTACTACTTGACTGCAGTAACCTCCCTGCTTCTCGTTTTGTCTTACTCAGTACATCCTCCATGTTATCAGTAGACTGAACTCTTTAAATTGTACTAATGGTTTATCTTTCTATCTCTTGCATCACCTAGTGGTCTTTTCCCCCCAATAGCAGATACTCAGTGAATGTTGAATGAATAATCCTGTGTTTCTGGAAAGTAGAACTGGTGGCCATGTGATTCTTTTAATGGCTATAATTCTTTGAAAAGAATTTGTGCTTAAATAATCCCCCTTTCTTCCTGTTTTAGAAAAGCTGTAACAATTCTTTGTTGTGCATTGATTTTTATGGACTATGTAAGTGTGTAAGTGACTATAATCATACAATGTACTATTGGAGCTTTTCACAGTAGAGTTTTGTTTTCTGCTCTAAAAGAAGTAAAGTAGTATCTGTGCTTCTCTATTAAAACAATTCTTTCTTTCCTCTTAAGCTGAAGTCTCCAGTGCATATTGAATTGCTGAGGAATTTGGGAAAAGACAAGCTGAAGTTCCCATTCCATGGATCCCTTGGGGGCACCTTCCCAGTTTGTGGATGTGGATACGCTACCAAGCTGGGGCAGCTCATGTGAAGATAAATTAAATGCCTCTGGTACTGCAGCAGAAACATTTCAGGAAGACGCTATTAGATCACCTTTTCTTTATAATAAGGACATCAATGGAAAAGTGGTTCTTTGGTAATTCTTTGGTTAAATCATATCGTGATATTATGATACTGTCTCCTAGTGTTTTCTAAATTCTTTTTCCTCATAATTTTTTCTGAACTCTTTTTGTAAGTCTTAGCATTGTTGAAATATTGCTTTGCATATACATATACAGCTCTATTGATGTGTAGTTGTCATACAGTAAACCGCATGTATTTAAAGTGTACAATTTGATAAATTTTGACATATGTATACACCCGTGAACCCATCACTGCAATCAAGATAGTGAATATATTTATCACCCCCAAAAGTTTTTTTGTTCCTTTGCAGTCCTTCCCTCCAGCCCCTTCCTGCTTCCACATCCCGAAGCAACCATTGGTCTTTCTGTCACTATAGATTACTTTGCATTTTCTAGAGTTTTTTATAAATGGAATCATGTATTCTTTTTTTAGTTCTGGCCTCTTTCATTCAGCATAATTATTTGAAAGTTGGTCTATGTTGTTACATGTATTGATAGTAGGTCATTTCTTTTTTTAAAAAAGCTTGATTGAGATATAATTCATGTACCATACAATTCACCAATTTAAATTGTAAAAGTCAGTGGTTTTTAGTATATTCACAAAGTTTTGTAACCATCACCATAATCAATTTTAGAACATTTTCATCAACCCAAAGTCCTATAGCCATTAGCAGTTACCCCCTATCTGCCTGCCACGCCGCCCAGATCTCTCATGTTTAGCCAATCACTAATCCACTTTTCCTCTATAGATTTGCCCCTTCTGGACATTTAATATAAATGGAATCAATTGTGACTTAGCCTAATGTTTTTAAGATTCATCCATGTTGTAGTATGAATCAGTACTTCCTTCCTTTTAATGGCCAAATAATATTCCATTGGATGTAGCACATTTAGTTTATCAGTTTTTTAGTTGATAGACATTTGGGTTGTTTCCAGTTTTTGGCTATTAGGAATAACGTGGCTGTGCCTAAACTCTTTAAACCAGCAACTTTCTGCTCTATAAGCATTCTTTTACAGTGAAAGAGAAGTATGAAAGAAGCAAAGGAATAGCATGTTGGTTTTATGAGTTTCAGGGTTGTAGCAATTGCATTAAAGATCTATCTAAGATGGTAGATTAACCTTTCTGAGTCAGGGACTACTTTTCTACTATTGCTTCAGCTTATGAGCTAGCAAAAGCAATGTTGTGAAGGGAGTGAGGATAGAATGTTTTGAAAGAATTAGAAACGTGCTTTCTTATCTCTGTCCTCTTCCTCACACTTGCTCTTTATTTATTTATTGTTTCCTCAGGAAAGGAGATGTAGCATTACTGAATTGTACAGCCATTGTAAATACCAGCAATGAAAGTCTTACAGATAAGAATCCTGTGTCAGAAAGTATCTTCATGCTTGCAGGACCTGATTTGAAGGAGGACCTCCAGAAACTCAAAGGTGAGTTAATTTTCTTAGGTATGTCATTGCTTACGAAACATTTATTTTGATATTTGAAGAACCATGTTTTACATTTTAGTGAGAACTCTGAGTAGATGTAACCGTTTTGTTGTTGTTGTTAAAACTAAATAAAAACAGCTTTTGAAGACCTCACAATGTGTTAGAAGCAGAACGCCAAGACTGCTCTCAGTAAAACTACTCTGTTATGTTCCTAAATTTTAAGATAACAGTCATTGTAGCCAGTTAGATCTTTGGTGGCATTTTCTTGGCTGTATATTTTCTTGTATTGATAAGCCTTGTAAAACAACTATCCTTTGTCTAAACTGAAAAATTTTTATCATGATTTGATAATGATAGAGAATTTTTTATATGCCTCCTGGATGTGCAGTGTTGTACTTCTGAAATGACATTGACTTACTGATAAAACCAAAGTGCATTGCAAGAGCAAATATAGTCTCAATTAATTTTGTACTTGCTGCTTTTTTTTTTTTTTACTAGAACATTCTTCTTCTGGGAACATTTCTTTGGAAACGGGGACAGGAAGAGTCCTGTTGGTTCCAAATCTTGTTTATCTTATTTACATTAGTTTTCTTAAATTACCAACCTGGCAACCCTTTGTTATTGTTATTCATGCCCAAATGGAATATTGTGAAATTCAGTCATTGCATTTGATAAAAAGTATTTATGAAATACAGCAATGTTTCTTAAAATGTAAACAGCAAATCCCACCTGTATAAAATCTTGATTTCTTCGACTTCTACCATTTAACACTGACAACTGGTTTCTAACCTAATGAAGAGACTAGAATTTGAACAGGAATACTTATAATGCTGGCTCCATGAAACAAGAGATAGAGAGAGAATTGCATTATCTAACCAAGAAACTGAACTTTGACTGTAAGGGCAGAAGGGGGAAAAAGCCCTCAATTAAACTAAAAACATGGTACTATGAAGAACATGTAGAAATTAGAAAATGTATTAGAGATAATGCTGAGAAATTCTTTGATAAAAGTAACAGAGAAGCTGGTCTGAAAAAATTCCTAGTGGCCTTTGTGTGTCTGTGTGTGTGTGTGTGTGTGTGTGTGTGTGTGTGTTCTCACTTACACATTAGAGCTGGACTAATGGATTAAAAAAGAAAAGAAAATTTAATATAAATGTACAAATAAAACCTCAATATTTAACGTGTGTTTGAGAGTCTCCGAGCTGGGGTTCAGATTATAACTCTGCCCTTTACTGACTGTGTAACTTAAGACCAATTACTTCACTTCTGAGCCTGAGTTTCCTTATGTCTAAAATGAGGATGGTAATAATAGTCCCTACCTCAGTTCCTGACACATAACAAGAGCTCAGTGAGTATTTGAGGATGCAAAAATTAATATCATGAAAACTAAATTAAATAGTGGACATTCAGTGCTAGGCACATCCTACACATTCACTGTTATTGCTGGTGCTAGCTAGAGGCCTCGGTTGTGTTGTTTAATGAATCAGTGCCAACCTGAAGCAAGATTGTTAATGATGCACTGAAGAGCTGATTACTTAGTCCTGTCCCTTTTTTACGTTCTTAATAACAACTTAGTAAATGATTACAAAGTATGGCTTACCAAAAGTATAGACAATAGAAAGCTGGGAGGAGTAACAGGAGACATTGGATGTTAGACTAAAGATTATTAAATATCTGAACTGACTAGAAATATGAGCCAAAAAATGAAAAAATTGACAGGGATGAATATAAAAGTCTTACAGTAAGTTTAAAACATTAATTACCCAAGTTCAGGATGGGGAAGCCCAGTTTGACAACTCTTCTTATCTAAGAAAGTGTTTGTTATCTCAGTAAAATGACATTATTATTCATTCTGTTTTTCATGCAAAAAACTTTAGGGTTAACATTTCCCTATTCCTTATCCCCTACGTAGAGTCTGTTGTCAAGCCCTAAACATATCTTGAATCTCTCTGTTATCACCACTGCCTTCAACCTGGCTTATGCTGCCATCACCCCCTGCCTGGACAATAGCCATAGCCTCACTCCCAACTGGTCTCCCTACATCCATTCTTCTTTTCTTGTTTTTCCACAAGCAATAAGCATTTGCTTTTTAAATTGTAAATCCCTTATTATTGCTCTCCTGCTTCAAACTATTTAGTGGCCTCCAGTTATACTTAAAATAAAATCCGGACTTCTTAAACTGGTCTCCAGGGCCTTGCAAGATCTCACTCACTTGCCTCCAGGCTCATTCCACGTCCGCTTGTCCTGTCCTCACCCGTCCTCACCATACTTGAACGAAACTGGTCTTCTCTCATTGCCTTGTCATCCAAGCTTCTTTTCAATTTCGCATGTACTATTGCTCTTTCTCTCAGTTCTCAACTTTTATTCTTAAGTCTTTGCTTATTACATCTCTTCCTCAAATCACTGTTTCTTTTTACTTGAGAATTGATCAGTCTCCCCATGGTATATGCTCCCAGCCTGTAGTACTTCTCTGTTGTGCCCTTATCAGAATTGTAATTTCGTAAATTGTTTATGTGATGACTGTGTTCCTCTTAAACTTTGAACTCCGTAAGGACAGGAACTGTGTGTCTTTTTGGCCTTCATGTGCCCAGTACCAAGAATAGTGAAGGCATCCTTTAAGTAGCTGATAAATAAATGAATAGAAGTTCCCTGGGGTTTTAACTGACTAGACTTAGAGGTGATAATGCATCATTTCTGCTGAAAATGCTAACAGTATCAGACTGTATCATTAGAAGTACAGCATCACAATTGAAGGTAACTTGTTAGCAGTTTAAAATAGACTGTTGTGTCTATAAGATGTTTTATGTAAGCCTCATGGTAATCACAAAGGAAAAACCTATAATAGATTCACAAAAGATAAAGAGAAAGGAATTAAAACTTACCAGTAAAAAAAAATTCACAAAGGAAGACAGCAAGAGAGGAACAAAGAAACTAAAAAAAACTCCGAAAACAATTAACAAAATGACAGTAGTAAGTCCTTACCTATCAATAATTATTTTAAACATAAAAGGACTAAAGTCTCCAATCAAAAGACACAGAGTGGCTGAGGGATACGGAAACAAGACCCAACCAGATGCTGCCTACAAGAGACGCACTTTAGCTTTAATGACACGTATAGGCTGAAAGTGAAGGGATGGAAAAACGTATTCCGTGCAAATGGAAACCAAAAGAAAGCAGGAGTGGCTATACTTATCTCAGATAAAATAGACTTTCAGTCAAAATTGGTCACAAGAGACAGAGAAGGTCACTATATGGTGATAGAGGGGTCAATTCATCAAGAGGATATAACAGGTGTAAATATATATTCACCCAACATTGGAGCACCTTAATATTTAAGGCAAGTATTAATAGAATGGAGAAATAGCATACAATAATAGTTGGGGACCTCAATACCCCACTGTCAACATTGGATAGATCATCCAGACAGAAAATTAATAAGGAAACAGGAGGCCTGAAAAACACTATAGACCAAATGAACCTAACAGACATATATCAAATATTCCATCCAGCAGCACCAGGATACACATTCTTCTCAAGCATACATGGAACATTCTCCAGGATAGATCATATATTGGGCCACAAAGCAACCCTTACAAATTTAAGAAGATTTGTGTGGAAATTAAACAACATACTCCTGAATTCCTAAATGGGGTTGTTTTCCTAGTTTTGTTTTCAGGTAGTTCATACATCTTGAATCTCTCTGTATCACCACTGCCTCCAATCTAGCCTATGCTACCATCATCCTTGATAGGAAGATACATAAAACTTCATCTCAGTTCAGTTGGAGAAATTTTTCTAAGAAATAGAGCTTCCTAAAAATGGAATGAATAGATTTGGCTTATTGTACCCAAATTTCCAAAAAAAATACATCTTACACTCACTCTTTGAATTTAGGCATTTTATGAAACTAAAGCTATGTGGGGTTTGTTGTTGTTTTGGTAAAGAATATGTGATAAGAGACAGCTAGATTGACAGATGATGTTCATCTTTAAATTAGAATCAGAATAGCATCTGATAATTCACCTGTCTACTTGTTTCTAGGCAAGAATACATATAATTAAGTACTTAAGTATGTTAAGTAATAAGCTTAAATATCTCTACGTGTATAGTGAGGAGAAAAATATTTTTTCCTCCAATCAGGATCACTGTACAGTTTTGCTGCTTAAATGTTCTGTGTTACTCAGTATTTAAATGTGCTGGTTTGATAGTACGAGAGTACATACACTACATTTTTTGCTTGCTGTGTTCTCTTATGAATAGCAATCATTTTGCTATAAACATTAAAACAACTTTTGTGTCTCATACTGTGGATGTTAAGATTTGGAGAGAAATAAGTGAAGTTGAAAAGTCCTAACTAATCTTTAGTACTCAGATTATCGTGCAGCGATGCTCCTTAGCAAAGGATGTAGCCAGGAGTAAAAGGCATACTGGATAGAGTTATGGCTGGAGTGAACGTGTGTTTAGTGAATTTGTATTTATTTTACAGGAATTAAAAATGCCTTCAGGACTGTGTCTTAAATGTTTACGATGATGTCAGGATTCGAGCTTTGGGTTAGAAGAAATCTGGGCTAGAAAGAACAAGTAAAAGATTGGGAAGCAATCTGGCAGTACTTAGCATGACTCTTGTCTCCAGAGTTCTGAGTTTTTTTTAACAATTATTAAAGGAAAGGTGTAATTCCAAAAACCAGAATATCCAGAACACTTAAAATTTTTTTCTTTTTCTGAACTCTGCCCTGAAATATCTTCAGGACTGATTCAGCAAACTGAGTGCCCAAATACATGTTTACTTGCTTGCTTTTTTTTTTTTAATCAAAGTAATACATTTATATCCTTTCTTTTCAATAATTATTTTCTAGTTATATAAGCAGTAAATGTAAATTGTAGAAAATTATATGCTCACAAGCTAAAAACAAATGAAAAAATTTCCACCACACTAAGATCACCACTATTAACACTTTAGTGCGTATCCTTTGGATCTTTCTGTATGTGGATATGGGTATCTGAACATATTCTTAAATATTTTGTTGCCAAAATAAAATAATTATATGTATACTGTCTTCAAAATAAGCTAATTTTGTACATATTTCTTCAGCAAATGAATTCCACCTTTTGGTTTCAGAAATTACCTCGTCTAATACCCAAACTATACATAAAATTTCCGGTTAACCCAAAAATGCCCTTTGCCACTAGTTTATTCAAACCAGTACCCAGTCCAGGAGCACACATTGTAACTAATTGTTATATCCCTAATTTTTTTTTTAATCCAGCACAGTCCCCTTTTTATGACACTGACTTGTTGAATGAACTAGGCCAGGGTGTTTTCCAAGATGTCCCACCTTCTGGATTTATCTCATTCACCTGAGGTGCCATTTAGTTTGTTGCTTTATCCCTTATATTTCCTATAAACTGGAAGTTATATCTAATGGAATCAAGTTTGGCTAAAATATTTCTTAGGTGATGTTGTTTTGTGTACTTAATATTGTATCATATTAGAAGATATATAGAACCTGACTGACCCATTAGTGGACCATTACTGATACTGAGATGGCTCTCCAGATTAGAGTGATAACAGTTTGATCCTTCCGTTTGTAAGGTTCTGTTTTATCCTTGATGACTGAAAAGTAATCAATATGGTGTTATTTAGGCTTTATGAAGGTACAGTTCCCCATCATACATTCACATAATGGTTTTAGCAACAATTTATAGTCCTTTTCTGAATCAGTAATTTCATTAAGATTATAAAGTTATGTTTTTCTAAAATCTATCATTCCTTCCACTTTTACTAGCTGGCATTCTGCTGTAAAGTAGAGCCTTTCCTCGTTAACTGATATTCTGTGGTTACTTTGAATTATAGTTTCTGTTAGAGGGGCAGGATAAATGCTTGATTCTTTTAATTGCCATTTTTCAAAGTAAAGAATTGGTTTAATAGCTGCCTCAAATGGTGCCAAATGAGTTTTTGCTGGCTTTCTCTTTTTTGAGTATCATTTTGTGCTTGTAGTTTTTCATTAATTAATGTATGTAGTTCTAAAAGTCAAGGAATTTTATGTCAAAATGTATGAAGGAAAGCAACAGTCCTCTGCCTTTCCCTTTATTATCTCGATTTGTGTTCTTCAGGGGCAAATACTTTCAAGCCTTTTAAGTTCCTTGTCTTATTTATCTTCCATTTCCAAATAAGCTAAAACTGCCATATTGATTTTTTTCCTTGTTTTATTATCTGTTGATTTCTTATTGTGGAAATTAAAGATTAAACTCTCTTTCATCCACTCCCCTCTTTTACATGTACATACAACACTCACACATTTTCTTCCCCCTTTACCACCTTTCCAAATTGGCCTGTCAAATTTTTATTAAATCAATATTCAGTATTAACATTGTGACTGTATAAATATTGCTCGGAACTCATTAGAAAACAGATTAATATTCTTTTTGTACAGCTGCTTTTCCTCTAGGTTATTAATTTATTTAAATTTTCTATGTACCTATCATTGGTTCAATCTCAAACTTTTATGTATAATTATAAACCTCCCTTCAATAAAGTCACTTTTCTGTTTATCTTTCAGCTTCATTTTGTTCTTAAGAAAGTCCTTCCTAGAACCACTCATCCTCTCTAGAGTGCTCTCTATACCTGCTGCACGGTTGTCATCCTGAGAAATCCTTTTTTCTATTTAATGGATTGGAACTTCCCATTTCCTAGATCTTATGCCTTTCTCTTCTTTGATGTACTCCTTCACTTTTGTAAATAAATCTACCGGGAGATTTCTGAGAAGGGTGGAAGGAAGCAAAATTACCGAGATTTTACTTCTACCAAACTAATTGGTAGTTTGGTTGGAAATAGAATTCTAGGTTAGAAATCATTTTCCAGGTTTTTTAAGGCATTGTTCCGTTGTTTTCAGTTTTTATTATTGCTCTTGAAAAGTCAGATGCAATTCTTATTCCTGATCCTTTGTATGTTACTGTTTTCTTCTCTGGAAACCTTTTGATCTCATCTTTACTTCTGGTGTTCTCTTAATTTCACGGTGATGTGCCTTGGCGTGGTTTGGGTCTCCCGTGGGCCCTTTGAGTCTGGAAACTCATATCTTTGAGTTGCGGAAAATTTCTTGTTTCATTTCTTTAGTAATTTCCTTCCTTCTGTATTCTCTGTTCTTTCTTTGAAGAAATCCTATTGGCTGTTGTACCTCCTTGTTTAATCCTCCAATTTTCATTTCTCTTATCTCTTGTTTTCCATCTTTTTATTTTCTGAAAGATTTCCTGAACTTTAGCTTTAACCTGTCTGTTGAAGTTTTTATTACTGCTATCATATTTTTCACTTGACTATAGCAGTTTTATATATAAGTGCTTTTTCCTGTTCTCTGAATATTCCTTTTTTGTAACGTTCTGGTTTTGTTTCAGAGGTACTGTATCTTCTGTTATCTCTCTGAGAGTAGTAATCATGGTGTTGGGAGTTTTTTAAGTTTCCTTCCCTACATTGTCTATTTTTTGAGCGTTTGTTCTGCCCCTCTTTTGTTAGACACTTTCCTCACTTCCTGATGGTCCTTGAGTGCCAGCTGTGTTTAAGAGGGACGACCTGAGAAGCTAATGGGAAGCTTTGTGTGATGGGTAAGGGTTATTGTTTGGTGGGTCTTGAAGCAGATGATGAGCCAGGAGCCCTCTTGTTTTGTTGGGGAATGTCCCTCGTTTATCAGAATCTGTGGGTCTTTTGGTTTGGGCCTCTTAGTTTCTGGAAAGGAATCTTCCAGGAGTGTAAGCCTGGGTGTCTGTGTTTTGGAAGCCAATTAGGAGCAGAGATCTGGAGCTCTCACTGTTGAATATTACACTTTAACTAAATCCCCTCTTTTTAGGTGTGTGTAGGGTGCTGTCTAGAAACTCTCCAGTTCAGCATCTCCAGAATAAACCTTCCAGCTGCTGTGGTGGTAAAGACATCATCACCTTGCTGTGCTGGCTGAGAGAGGGCTTGTTGGAGATTTGACTGTTTTTATGCAGACTTTTAATCTCAGCCTCCTCTTTTTAGTCCCATTTCACGATAGCCTTTAGAAGTACTTAGGACCTCCAATTTCTGAGCCTTTTTAGTGTTCTATGATAGCAACAACAACATTAGTAGCTAATGTATGTTTGCACTTTGAATATATTAACTCACTTAATCCTATTAAGTAAGTACTACTATATCCTCTTTAAAGAGGAAATTGAGGCATAGAGAGACCAAGCACCTGCCCAAAGTGTCACAGCTGGGACATGGTAGACTCAGGATTTCAATCAAAGCAGGCTCTCTGAATCCGACACTGCCATTCAGTACAGACCAGCTTGCTTCATATTGGTTCCTCCATTTCCACAAGCAGTTAGGTTTTTCTGCTTTGCTAAATCAGTTACTTCTAGTCCATCAACTTTCTACCTTCCAAAATTTTGATGATGCTTATCTGCTTCATGTTCTCTTCCAGTCTCTTTATCTATGTTTTTGTAGCTATTGTATTGCTTCACTGTCTTTTTGGGAACAAAGACAATTGTTGGTGTTCAATCCATATTTTTAACTGAAATTTCTCAAAGTTCCTAATACTTTCTCTGTTTTATGCATTGTTTTGTGGTTGTTGTTGTTTTCTACTACCTCCATGACTCACATATGCCCCATTGTTCCTAGGTTGCCGGACAGGTGAAGCAAAATTGACGAAAGGATTTAATCTAGCTGCCCGGTTCATCATTCACACGGTGGGACCCAAATACAAGAACCGCTATCGCACAGCAGCTGAGAGCTCCCTGTACAGCTGCTACAGAAACGTACTTCAGCTGGCAAAGTACGGCTTACTCATTTCCTGGACATACCTTGCTGTACATTCTTAAAGACCTCAGTTTTAAAATGCAGCCTAACTATGGAAGTCAAATTTTGCGGGATTTAGATAGTTTAGGAGGACCTTGAAGATAGAATTAATTATCTTCTCAAACTCAGCAGAGTAAAAGGAATGGATTTGGGTGACTTCAAAATTTAACCTGTTCCCGTTTTACTCAATCTTTACTTGGATTATATTCCCCCAAATGGTGCAGTTAAATTATATCTTAATATAATTATTGAATGGTGCAATTGGGTTAACTATTATAGTGGATTTGTTGAAGGAGCAGGGAAGGAGAAGTTAAGCTGCATATTTTAATAGGTTACGTAGTATGTATATATTATGAATATTTGTATTGTAATTTTTGTTTTTTATGTTTCATTGCAGAGAACAGTCAATGTCTTCTGTTGGATTTTGTGTCATCAATTCTGCAAAACGAGGTTATCCTTTAGAGGATGCAACACACATAGCACTTCGTAAGTAAGAGAGGAGATGCTGTACATAAATTGACATAGCACTTCATAAGTAGGTTTGGGAATGCTGTACGTAAATTGAGCCTTAAAAGGTTTTTTTATCACTACGTAAATAGTGATGCCAGAGAAGATTTGTTGATTAACTGATGATCATGGCACCCTGGAGGGAAGTTTGTATACATTGACGAGTTGCAGAGCTCTCAGTTTGCTTTCCCAGGTTGATGTTTTTGTCCATTTGAATAAAGGCTTAGAAGACTTGCCTATTAAATTTGAAAACGATACGAAGCTAAGAAGTATGGCCAATGTGTTGGGTATTTGAATCATAGTTCAGAATAATCTTAACAGGCTGCAGCCACGAAGTCAAAACAGATTTTATAGTATCAGATTCATATAGCCATTTGCAGTTTAAACAGCAGATTTTACATGTGTTACTTGACTATAAAGCCCTGCATTTAGGTTGTTAAAAGTCTAGACTTGATCATTATGAGCCGAAATGTCATATATGTGATAGAAAAATATGATGTTCAGTTCGAGAGGGTCTATGATCTCACTGTATTACATGCAGGTTCAGACCACATGTAGAGTTTTGTATACAGATCTGGGTGTCGTGTCTCATGAGATGCTGACAAACTGGAGGGCACTTTGAAACATTAGTGGTATTACTCCTAAAGAAGAGCATGCTTTTAGCATATAGTGCCCATCTTCAGATATCTGAGAGTCTCATTATGGACTTATTCTATGCAGCATTTTTAGAGCAATGGTTCTTAACCTCTTTGGGAGTCATCATAAACTACGCTGAGCCTCTGATGAAAGAAAGCTGTGGATCTTTTCCCCAGAGGAATATATATACATATGGAATTTATATTTCAGAAGGCTTGCAGATTTTTGTAAGGATTGTAGCTAAGACCTCCAACTGTGGAAAGCAAGTCTTAAGACCAGGTGACAAGACAGGGGAGATTTTAGTCCCATTTGAGTTAGGACTATCTGTAGTAGAAAGGTGTTTTAAGTGAACTTTTTGTCCCTGGGAATGTTCATGCAGAGGCTAAATGACCATCTGTTGCAGATATTATAGAAAACATTCCTCATTTGAGAGGGAAACTATACTAGATGATCTTTAAGACCCCTTTCTATCTCTAGAATTTAAAGATGAGGAGCTGAAAGTCTTATATCCACTAAAAAATTACAAAGATGTTTTTTATTTTTATTTATTTATTAAAAAGATGTTTGAATGTATAAAATTATTATTATATAGTCTAGAATTTAGGGTGAGGGCTTGTTCAGTCTTAAATATCTTGTTTTAATAATAAGCTGTTTTTAAAACTAAGATTCAGTGTTACTGTTCAGGGATTTTATTGTAAATTTGTATGTTTTATAGTTACAGTTCATATTTATATACATTATATTAGACTGAGCTTCTTGAGGGGCAGAGAACTTATTTTTTCATCTTTGTATTTCCAATGCTTCTGTATGTCAAAAATGCTTTACATATGGTACTTGCTCAAGAAATACGTATTTTAAAAAGGAATAGGAACTCTCATTTTATTTCCTCAACAACCCTGTGTTTTAGGTAGTTATTCGTTTTACATAGAAAGAGGCTCAGAAATGTATCATGTTCTCAGGATTATGTAGACTTGGAACATATATCCAGGCCTGCTGACTCCCAGGTCTCGTAACCTTTCAGTTATACTAGAAAATTCGTTATGCGTGGGTTAGAACTGCTTCAGTGGGAAACTACTGTTAGAGGTAGCCTGCATGTATTCTGAATGATGCCTTTCCCAAGCAAAGTTTCTGCCCTTATGTAATTCTTCCTGACAAGGCTTTGGCAGGTCTTGACATCCTCTGATTCCCTCTAGCCCTTGCCCTGTCCTCTAATTCTTGACCTAAGCCACCTTTTATGTCTCCATTTCTTGTTAAATTAATCATATGGATTAGAATGTAGAGAGGCAGCATCATTTTGTAGAAAAAGCCTCTGAAAAGGTAGTCGAGAAGGCTGGTTTTTCGATCCAATTCTACCAGTCTAACTCTAGCTTTCTGGCCCCAGGTAAATCACTTGGTATAATACTATGAGAGGTGTCAGCTTTGAGCAGTAATTCCAGTAATAGCAGATAAAGATCAACAGTGGGTATAAGAGACTTTGATGAGGCATTTTCTAGGAATTTAGTTAGCAAAAAGGAAATATATAGCTCTTAAGGTGGACAAGTTAACATATATTTATAAGACCTATTTAATTTAATAACACCTTAAATCTAGTAGCAAACCTATAGCATCTTGTTGAAAAATACACATATACTCATAAACAATTGCACCCTTTGCTCGCATACTTTCTGAGCATTTGGGAAACAAATGGCTTGTACTCTTTTGTAGCATATATGGGCCAAGAACAAACCTAATGATATAACTCTTAAGTCCTTTGTACCCCAAAGCTTTCTTACGTGTTAAGCTATTGTTCAAATTTATTTCATTTGAAACCTAAGTAATACCTTCTTGATAGATATATCAAGACTATTTATCTTCTTTTTCTTAGTTCATGTGCAGTTCAGTTCTTCTCCAGAAGAAGCCTAAAGAAACATCTGCATTGAAAAAATTTATCAGGTTATTTATTCATTCGACAGAACTTTGAGTGGCTACTATGTGCTAGGCCATGTGCTGTATAGAAGAGGATACAGTGGTGAGAGAAAAGACGACGGTGTTTGTTCTTGTTGTGTTTCCAGGTTAGGAACTTTAATGTCCCAGATATCATTCTCACCAGTTAAAGGGTTTTCACTAAAAGTTAGGCACACAACATCCTGGTTGGTTGCAGAGAATAGTGCACAGATGAAACTTTGAAAAGAACAGTTTGGACTGCTAGTTAGTGTTAAAACCTTATAGCCATGACATGTTGTTTTTTTTTTTTTTTCTTTTTGCAGCATTGCTTTTCTGAATGAGCTCTGGTGAGGGAATTCAATATGGCTATTGTTTGGCATTGTATTTTGTCTTCCAAAGGAAATCCCACAATTACATACTGGGAAAGTGACGATTATGTATTCACATTAAAATTTGGTGTCAAAGTAAATAGAAGCAAATCCCTTTTTGAAAGTTGATTTTTAAAAAATTATTAAAGCAGAATAGAGGAAGAAATGAAAAATAAATTTGTTACCTAACAGAGGGATAATTATGAATATTTCTTCAGTCCTTCAACAAATGGGTCTACAGTATTAGGTTCTCAAGATATAGTAGTCAACAAGGCAGGCAATATTTAGATAACCAGAGACATAAAATGTTAATTCAGTTACTAGTTACTTTTGAGTTGATTGCTTGCCATATTCCTAAGATGTGCCAGGTCCTGGTGATATTAATGTAAAATATATTTGGCCTTCAAAAAGCTCATAGTCTAGCTATAAAATGCTGTGAGAAGTTCACAAATGGAGGGCTGTTCAAACGATTATAGGAGAAGCACAAGAAAGGATGGAGTTCTACACAAAGGAGATAGCTTTTGACTGCGTCTTTAAAAATGAGTAGAAGTTCACTAAAAGAAAGTGATGGTGAATGAATGGTATTCTAGTCAAAGGTAACCATGCAAGCAGAGGTAGGGTAGCATAAAGTAAGTGGCGTGTTCTGAGTACAGAAAAAAAGCTGATTTGGCTAAAGTATGTGGGAGGAATAATTGGAAATAGGACCAAGGGGGCAAGGGTTAGTTGAGGTCAGAGTATAGAGAGCCATGTTAGGGACTTTGAAACTTAACTTGTAAATGGTGCAGAGCCGTCAGAAGTGTTTAGTGAGGAGAGTAACATAAGAGGATAACTTAGGCAACAGTGAATATGTAGACTTGGGAAAGAGAAACAAGAGGACAGTTGAGCTTATTGCCAAAGTCTTTGTAAGCATTGAGGGCCTGAGAGCAGAGGCTCTCAGAGGAAGAGAGAAAAGGAGAAGGAATGAATGTTATAAATAGCAGCAGTAGAATTTAAAGGACATGCTAACCCACTGAAAATGCAAGATGAAGGAAGAGGTGAAGGAAGTGTCAAAAAAATTTCGGATTCTATGGGCCGGCCCCGTGGCTTAGTGGTTAAGTGCACGCGCTCCGCTGCTGGCGGCCCGGGTTCGGATCCCCGGCGCGCACCGACGCACCGCTTCTCTGGCCATGCTGAGGCCGCGTCCCACATACAGCAACTAGAAGGATGTGCAGCTGTGACATACAACTATCTACTGGGGCTTTGGGGGGGTTGGAATTTAGGATTCTAGCTTGGATGAGTAACTGCATGTTGCTACATAAGTGAGGTAAAGAATACAGGTCTAGGAGCAGGTTTTGAGGGGAAAGGTCGAGGCCAGGTTTGGACCTGTTGGGGTCAGATTTGGGCATGTTGAGTTTGAGGTCTCTGGGTTATCTGGGCAGATATACCCAGTGGGCAGTAGGGAATTCAGGTCTTTTGTTCAGAAAACAGAATATAAAGATCTGGGAGCCATCAGCATTTGGGGTGGTACCTAACCAGCAAATTAGTGAGCATTAGTGAGCTGAAGTGTGTATACATATATATATGTGTGTGTGTGTGTGTGTATATATATGTATGTATATATATCAAGAAAATAAATGTGGAGGACAGTCCCTGGAGGACAACATTTTTAAAACGTGGGGCCCAGACACTTAGGACTAAAGCTAGAGAGATCTCTAGTAAGTTAGGGACTGAGAAAGGCCATTAGGAAGTTGATAGAGAAGAAGTGGGATAACAGAAATTAAGAAAAAAATAATTCAACTTTGTTTTGATGAGATTTTGACAGAGACGAAGAGCTGAGTAGGACATCTAATACTGTAACTGAATGAATGGAAAGACGCTTGTGCTAGATCATTCTGGTCAGAGAGAGAGGCGCCTGGGAATAAAAAGAATGTGCTGGGTGAGGGAGAATTGTCTGGAGTCAGCATCGTCTGTGGCCAGGCGCTGCTCTCAACACTGGCGATAAAACAGGAAATAAAGGAAAGCTCTTGTTGTTGTGGAGCTTTCATTCTAGTGGATGGGGTGGGAAGGGCAGGGAAGATGTACAAGAAACAAGAAACTCCACAAAGTGGCTGTAGTAGTTTGCTCCACAAAAAGCAAATCAGGGAAGGGTTTGACATAGGGTAGTCTGGGCGGGCTTCACTGATAAGGTGTCATTGAGCAGAGACCTGAAGGAAATGAGGAGTGATCCATTACAAAAATAAAACTTTGAAGAGTGTGATTTTTCTTCACCCATAAGTAAAGTCTTTTTTTTTTTTTAATTTTATTTATTTATTTTTTTCCCCCAAAGCCCCAGTAGATAGTTGTACATCATAGTTGCACGTCCTTCTAGTTGCTGTATGTGGGACGCGGCCTCAGCATGGCCAGAGAAACGGTGCGTAGGTGTGCACCCGGGATCCGAACCCGGGCCGCCAGCAGCGGAGCGCGAGCACTCAACCGCTCAGCCACAGGGCTGGCCCAGTAAAGTCTTATCTATTGAATAATCTTTCTGTTCTTTTCCTTAGGCACTGTAAGGAGATTCCTAGAGATTCATGGGGAGACCATTGAAAAAGTAGTATTTGCCGTCTCTGAACTTGAAGAGGTATTTTGCTAATTATGTTGCACTGTTTAAATCTTACTTTTACTTGTAAGTGTTTGCCTTTGTCTCATTATTTACTGAATTGCCAGGAGGCAATTACTAATTATCTGTGTATATATTTGGCAGTGGTGCTTACCATCATTTGTTGAAAAAGACTCTATGTTAAAGACTAAAAACAAGTCAAGAAGGAGATTTTGTTCATATTTTTTTACTGCTAAACCATTGTCACTTAATGAAATCTTAAAGTGGAGTTGTTCTGCTTTGCTCCCTGTGTTAGCTCTCAAGGCATCATCTTATAACCTAAATACTGGGTGCCTGGCAGCATAACCACTGCTGTGCTGGAAAAGCTTTGGGGTCTACCTGACCTGGAGACAGGTGACGGCCTAGCCAAATGACTGACATTAAGTTGTGAGGTTTATGTTTTGTTGTATGTAGTTAGGTTTAGTATGTTTCAATTTGATTTAGCGCCATTTTAGAACATTCTTTCTTCTTTTTTAAATTTTATTAAGCTTAGTTTTAGTGTGCTCTCTCCAGTTTAGTTTGTATTATTTCCCAGTTTTGTGTCCATGGGCAAGTTAGTTAACCTCTCTGTGCTTTGATAGAATAGGAATACTAATAGTACTTATATCACAGGAGTTTTATGATAAATGAGTTAATACATGTGAAATATCCATGGCAAGTATATATAGCCACATACATGATATATGAATACTTTTGAATTTGCTAAAATAAGACACATTTACTTTGTTTGCTGTCTCTTCTTGTTTCACCTGGTTTATCTATTCATTCTTTCAGTGACCTTTTATTGAGTGTCTAGCATTTATCGGCTTTACTATACTAGGTCCTGAGAATACTTGAGTGAACAAATCATGATCATTGTCCTCAAGGAACCCATTGTCTATTGGTGGAGGCAGACAATTCAGATAAATTATGATAATTGTGCATTATTTTATGCATTAAATTATGATAATAATTGCATTAATGGAGGTATGGGAAGGATAGAAACACATAATTCCAGCCTGGCATAGGGTCCAGAAATACTTCTCATAGGAGGTGATATGGGTTAAATGGATTCAACTCCATTTAAGTTGAAATCATTGTAAAAGGTGAATAAGATTTACCAAGGGAGGAGCAAGTGGCAATAGTCATACAAGCATCAGCAAAGGCATATAAGTAGGAAATAACATAAAGGGTGTAGTGTTGCTGTTACATAAAATGTGAGGCTGGGAGTGGCAAAAGTGAAAGCTAGGCAGGAGCAAGATCACTCAAGGCCTTGTGTCTCATGCTCTGGAAATTAGACTCCATCAGTTATGCATTGGAGAAACATAGAAGAGCTTTAAGCAGACAATGATGTGGTCTAATTTCTGTGTTAGTTGTGTGGAGGATGATTTGGAAGGAGAAAGACTGGTGGCAAGAAGAGATAAGAGGTGGTTGTGGTATTCTAAGTGAGAAACAATCAGGCCTGAACAAGAACACTGGTGGTATTAAAATTTTAAAAAATATTTAGTAAACAAATTCAGCTGGAGTTCATGGTCATAAATATGTAGGGGAAAAGAGAGAGGGAAGTTAAGGATGACTCCTAGGTTTCTGGCTTGGAAGACTAGATAGTGATGCCACCAAGAAGAGAGCAAGGAGAAAGTGGAAAAAGTTTTGGATAGAGGAGGAGAGGAGATGAAGACTAATTTTGTTTTGAACATGTTGAATCGTAGTGGATCAGTGGAGTGTGGAGACAGATGATCAGCAAGCCATTGTGCATATCAGTCTAAAGCTGAGGAGCGAAGTCTGGGCTAGAGATTTGGCCATTGCCATAGAATAGAATACCAAATAAGATATGGTTCCCGCACTCGGGGACTTTGCAGGCTGATCACAAGACAGCCAGATAAAGGCAATCCTGCAGTGTGGCAAATGCTGTGCGAGGAGTGTACATCACAGTGCTATGGCAGTATATCAGGGAACCTAACCCAGACCCAGGGGGACAGAAAAATTCTTTACCCTTAGCATACCTGAGTAAAATAGTCATTAACGTTTGTTGTCTTTGTCCCATGGACTCTTTTTTTTAAGTCATTTATGAATAATTTATTGAAGAATAAAGGGATAATGAAAAACAGTTTTATTAGGCATTTCAATAAGAATTTAAAGATAACCAGTCTCTTTGTATCAAGTAAATTTTGTTGCACAAACATCACAAAGGTGAAAGAATACTGTCATACATCCTTTTAGGAAAATGATGTTCCAGGTTATTATCACAAAATATTGCATGGTCAGCTCCTTCTTGTTGAATGACTAAGTGAATAAAGATGCCAAATTTCCACTTTGTCCTTAGAAATATATTGTTAGCTCATAAGTTCTTGAATTTGAGAAAATTAATCTAGAATATTGTCATCTCAGTGTCTGAGATTTCACTTTATGTGATCCATCTGATCATCATCATTAAAGTGCTACTGTCTGGCTCTTTGCATTTGTCTTTGATTCATATAATAATTTTGAAATGTCTTTGTTCAGTTGTCTTCTCTATGCTATTATGGGCTGAAAATGAAAAATTCTGAATTCTCAACTCTGCCCAGTGAAAGTTAAAAACAGACTACACACAAGAAAAGGAAACTACTGACCAATATTATGAATAGAGATGCACAAATCCTTAACAAATATTAGCAAGCTGAATCCAACAACATATAAAAGAATTATATACCATCACCAAGTGGGATTTATTCCAAGAATATAAGGTTGGTTCAACATACAAAAATCAGTCAATGTAATGCACTATATTAATAGAACTAAGGATAAAACTATGTGATCATCTCAGTAGATGCAGAAGAAACATTGGACAAAATCCAACACCCTTTCATGATAAAAACACTCAGCAAACTAGAACTAGAAGGGAACCTCCTCAACGTGATAAAGGGCATGTATGAAAAATGCCTAACTTATACTTAAAAGTGAAATACTGAAAGCTGTCTACCTAAGATCAGGAACAAGACAAGATATCCACTCTCACCAATTCTATTCAGCATTGTGGAGGTACTAGGAAGGGCATTTAGGCAAGAAAAAGAAATAAAAAACACCCAGATTGGAAAGAAAGAAAGAAAACTGTCTCTACAATCATGCACTGCATAGTGACATTTCGGTCAACGATGGACCACATATATGACGGTGGTCCCATAAGATTAGTACCATGTAGCCCAGGTGTGTCTGAGCTATACCATCTAGGTTTGTGTAAGTACACTCTGTGATGTTCACACAATGACAAAATTGTCTAATGACTCCTTTCTCAGAACGTATCCCTGTCGTTAAGCGACACATGACTGTATTCACAGATGACGTGATCTTGTATATAGAAAATCTCAAGAAGTCCACAAAACTGTTAGAACTAATAGAGTTCATCAGGGTTACAGGACAGAAGATCAGTATACAAAAATTATGTTTCTACACACTAGCAATGAACAATTTGAAAATGAAATTAAGAAAATAATTCCGTTTACAATAGCATGAAAAAGAATCACATATTTAAGACAAAATTTAAAAAAAGAAAATTAAGACTTGTACATTGAAAGCTACAAAATATATTTGAAAGAAATTTTGAAAGACCTACATAAATGGAAAGGTATCCCTGTTCATGGATTGGAAGACTCAATGTTGTTAAGATGGCAGTATTGCCCTAATTGTTCTACAGATTCAGTGAAATACGTATCAAAATCCCTACTGACTTTTTTGTAGAAATTGACAAATTGATCCTAAATTTCACATGGATGTGCAAGGGACCCAGAATAGTCAAAACAATTTTGGGAAAAAAGAACAAAGTTGGAGGATTCACACTTAATGTATTTCAAAACTTACTACAAAGATACAGTAATCTAGACTATGTGGTACTGGCATAAGAATAAACATATAGATCAATGGAATAGAATTTTTGACAGAGTTGCCAGGGCAATTCAATGGAGAAAGAATAGTCTTACCAACAAATAGTATTGGAGCAACTGGATATCCACATGCAAAAGAATGAGGTTGGACCTTTACTTCATACCATACACAAAAATTAACTCACAGTTGATCTTGGACCTAGGTTTAAGAGCTAAAACTATAAAACTGTTAGAAGAAAGCATAGGTATAAATCTTCATGACCTTGAATTAGGCAGTGGTTTCTTAGATATGACCCTAAAGCAGAAGAAGCCAAAATAAATATAGATAAATTGGTCACTCTTATAATTCAACAATAGAAAGACAGCCCAATTAAAAAATGGGTAAAAGTTTATATTTACCCAAATGAATTGAAGACCTGTGTCCACACAAAAACCTACACAAGGATATTTATAGCAGCTTTATTCATATTTGCCAAAACTTGGAAGAAGCCAATATGTCCTTCAGTAGGTGAATGGATAAACAAACTGTGGTACATCCCAATAATGGAATGTTATTCAATGCTAAAAATAAATGAGCTATTAAACCATAAAAAGATATGGAAGGACCTTAAATGCATATTACTAAGTGAAAGAAGCTAATCTAAATAGGCTACATACTGTATGATTCCAACTATATGACATTCTGGAAAAGGCAAAACTATGAAGACAGTAAAAAATCAGGGATTGGAGTCGGGGAGGGATGAATAGACAGAGCACAGAGGATTTTTAGGGCTGTGAAAATACTCTGTATGATACTATATTGGTGGATATATGTCATTATAAATTTATTCAAACCCATAGAATGTACAACACCAAGAGTGAACCCTAATGTAGACTAAGGGTGATTATGATGTGTCAGTGTTGGCTCATCAATTGTAACAAATGTACCACTCTGGTGGGGGATGTTGATAATGAGGGAGGCTCTGCATGTGTAGGGGCTGGAAGTATATGAGAAATCTCTGTAGCTTGTCAGTTTTCTTGTAAACCATAAACTGCTCTAAAAAAATGTCTTTTTAAAAAATTGGCCAAGTTTTAAATAGATGTTTTCTCAGAGAAGATATACAAATCACCAATAAGCACATGAAAAGATGCTCCACAACATTAACCATTAGAGAACTGCAAATCAAAATCACAGTGAGCTACTACTTCACACCCACTAGTATGGCTGTAATTACCAAGAGAGGCAATAACAAGTGTTGGTGAGGATGTAGAGAAATTGAAACTCTCATACATAGCTAGGGATACAACTGCTTTGGAAAACAGTCTGGCTACTCCTCAAAAAGTTAAACAGAGATTCCACTCTTAGGTATATGCAGAAGAGAAGTGAAAACATATGTCCACGCAGAAACTTGTACACGAATATTCATATAAGCACTATTTATAATAGCCAAAAAGTAGAAACAACCCAAATGTCATTAACTGATGAACTGATAAACAAAATGTGGTGTATACACACAATGGAATATTACTGAGCCATAAAAAGGAATGGAGTACTGATACATGATACAACGTGGATGAACCTTGAACACATGCTAAGTGAAAGAAGTCAGACACAGAAGGCTACATACTGTATGCCATTTTTATGAAATGTCCAGGAAAGGCAAATCCATACAGACAGAAGGTAGATTAGTGGTTCCTAGGGGCTGGGGAGGGAGAAATGGGGAATAACCTAGCTAATGAGGATAGATTTTCTTTTTGGGGTGATGAAAATGTTCTGAAATTAGATAGTGGTGATGATTCCACAGCTTTGTGAATGTACTAAAAACTGGAATAGTATACCCTTTTAAAAAGGGTGAATTTTATGGTAAGTGAATTATATCTCAGTTTTTAAAGCAAAACTATAAAGATGCTGTCTCTAGTCTTCTTATATACCTACCTTACTTACTTCTGTATATGAAAGATGATGCGAAATTGCGGGTGACACAATAAGAAAACTGATGGATAATGATTTTATTGTCCTTCTAGGGAACTCCATCATTCTTTTGATTTCTTATTCTAGTTTAGTCTTTTTTAGTATAGTTGGGAATAATTGATGAGTAACAATAAAATAATTCCTAGGATAATAAGAAAGCAAAATGCTTCAAGATATAAGAAGAATAAGAGTGCTAAATGCCTATAATGTATCATGGATTTATAAATGAGTCCAATGGACCAACCTGTATGAAAATTATAAGATAAAATGAGTTTTATTCTATTTTTTAAGGTAAAATTTATCTTTGTTCTTTGGAAAACCTCAAAGAAAGAATAAAAGTCATGAAATAGCAATCCTTCATACATAGTTAGAACTGTTAAAAAAAAAAAACCTCAAAAACTAAACCTGGGTTGAATGGACTCTGATGGCACACTGAGGCTTGGGGAGTTAGCATCTGAGCTGAATCTTGAATGACAAATACCGTTAGTAAGGTAAAGGAAGAAGATGGGGACAGGAGTGGCAGGACTTACACCTTCCAAGTTCAGTGACCTGGAATTGCCAGGATGGGAATTGTGTTTAACTTGACTAGCTAACAACATCCTTATCTTTAACACGAGAACTGATTGAGGGTCCCAGATAGCATCCAGTCCGAGCTCAGAAGTGGTAAGGTCTTTATTCTCGATGGAGGCTGTCTTCACAGTGTATAGAACAGCACTAAGCACTGCTGATGCCTGCTTCATTACTTCATTATTTTTCCCAGAATGTCTTGCTTTTCTGACACAGGCTACTTACCAAAAGCTGCTACCTCTGTACTTCCCAAGATCGTTAAAGGAGGAGAGTCGATCATTGCCATACCTACCTGCAGATATTGGAAATGCAGAAGGGGAGCCTGTGGTACCTGAACGACAGATTAGAATAAGTGAAAAGCCTGGTGCCCCAGAGGGTGAGTTCGATCTTTCTTAATTTCCCTCTTAAGGAAGCAAGGGGACTGACTGATAAAACACCAGCCACCAAAGAAGTAGGAAGTTCAGCTTGACCTTTGGGAAGTTCTCTATTAGTGTGACACTTAAGATCAAGATCAACTGAGATGTTTTCAGGTTCTTATTCTTGTTAAGATTTATTCTTTAAATTAAAAAAAAAATTATATGTTATGTCAAGTCTGTGTTAGGCAGTAGAGATTCAGAGCGGGTATAACAACATTCTCACCCTCATGAAACTTATAGTTTCATGCACGACACTGTTGAGACAGTAGTCACATACATTATCATCCAAAATTTTCAACAGCTTCAGCAATGTCTTCTAAAAGCTGTACCTAAGATTAAATACTAAGACAAGAATACTATAACCATTTTTTTTGTTTCTTTATGTTACATACTCATGTAGATTGAAGCAATGGTAGAGCACTGCAGGATGGGAGCCCTTCTGAATCTGTTCTGTATGACAGCTTGTGCTGATCTTCATGGGTACATGTTAAGGTTGTAAATCCCTTCTATGGAGACAGGCCTCATGAGCTTCAGTGCTGGAACTTGATCTCAAAATTCAGTAGCTTAGAAATTACTGTGAGATTCCTACTGTGAACACTTTTAAATGAGAATCAAGTTAAAATCTGTAGAAGGCTACTCATCACCAGTACACAGACGTACATCTAACGGAGGGAATTATAAATGGTGCGGCGTCAGGAGATGTCTGTGAACCAAGCTTTGCTGCAGGAATGCCCATGTACTTTAGGAAGCCTCCAATAGAGTACCCCCGTGAAATAGGCCCAGAGTCATTTGGAAATCCTCATAATTGTGATCACCACGATAGAATATAATTTTTCCTAAATTCATAAAATGCATTTTATAGGACAAGGAGTAAGGAATAGCAAAACCAGTTTAAGATGGCAGTGCTGGGCAGTGGATGAGACTGACTCTTTAGCCAAAAAGTTCCCTTCTATTGACCATTCTCAAAGAGTCCTTGATTTGCACCTGTATCTCAAAAAATATTGTTACCTCATAGAAAGAGGCCTTAGTGTTCATAAATATTTTCAAATAGAATGTTAAGTCTATTAAAATAGTTGTAAAATCGTCTTTACTCAAGGAATTGAAAGAAGATTCATTCATGGGTATTTTTTAATAAAGCTGTTGGCCTGTCGCAGTTTGAAGAACAATGAGGTAGATGTGAGGAAGTCCCAGCTGGATGGCCCATCAGGCTGGGCTTCAAGTGGTGTCATTGCCTTGGGAAGCTCCCCATGGTTCAAGGGTTTTTTTTTTTCCCTTTCTTTAAAAAAAATTTTTTTTTGTTCTAACAGATACGATAAGGGAGTGAGGAACACACTAAGAGATGATCATTCCCAAGGGACTGGGTTCTACTAGCCAAACATAAGATGATCATATGAATAAATCAGCAAGTCAACTCATTAACTTGTAGTGAGAACTATAACTCTTATGGACCAGAATGATTATGTAGGCACGACCAGCGTGGAAAACCGGGATGCCAAATTGGCATCAAAACATATCTTAGTGAATGTGGATCAGACCCTGCCATCCTAGTCCATCCATCTTCCTTCAGGGGTTACCTGACAATATGTGCCAGTCGCTCAAATGCTCCCTCTTTATGCAGTTCTGGATAAATGACCCCAAACATGTGTTCCTTATATTTCTCTTTTGTTAGCTGCTGTGCTCCAGTCCATCTTTAAACCCGCATGCAGTGTCGTTACTTCTATCATTTTGCTCATGATTTGCTCATGATTACATTCTGCTTTTCCTAAGGTTACACCCAGGTCACCTTGATTTGATTTCACGTATTCCTAGAACTTCTGTCACACGTGGACAAGTGGTTTCTTTCATTATTTTAGTTCTTCAAATGCCTGAATCTGATTTCAGTTTCATTCTCAAAAAATAACCCTCACCCCAGTCTTTGGAGTTACCTCACAGTCATCCCTATTGCAGCATTCACAATCTATTTGTAGCATTTACTGTCAAGTTTCATCATAAGCTCTCTGTTAATAATATTTTTGTTACAGACAACCACGAAGAGGATGAAGGCTTGGGCGTTGATCTCTCTTTCATTGGCTCTCATGCTTTTGCTCGAATGGAAGGAGATATTGATAAGCAAAGAAGACTGATCCTTCAGGGGCAGTTATCAGAGGCAGCCCTGCAGAAGCAGCATCAAAGAAAGTAAGGCAAACCCCTTTCGCCTGATGGGCATGTAAAGATAGGAGAGACAAGAAAGGGCCTTACATCTGCTAAATCACCTACATATGATGTGTTCTAATTTATTCTTCATGGCAATCTAGTGAGGAAGATATTGTCCCCATTTTGTAGATGCAGAGACTCAAAGTTAAAGGATTTACCAGTGGTCACAGTTAACATGTGATTAAGCCACTGTTCAGATGATGTCTGATTTCAGGGCTCCTGCTCTTTCTGTAGTGCCTCTGGCTGAGTGACGTTATATTCTAGAGGTAGAAACTAGGGAAAGGGAAAGTCCGAGTTACAAAATTTTTACTTAACTTTAATATATTTATAATTAAAGCATAATCTACAGTTTTATTAAATTTAAAAGAGTTTTATTTCTCCCTGACTTCCCAAGGACCTTATAAGGCCATTCCATTTTTTTCAGATGTTTTCTAAAGCAATTCTGAATAAATCCGTTTAAAACATAAAGAAAAGCAGCTTTTGTACTTCTGGGTATGCTTTTCCAAGGATTAACAGTCGTTGTAGAGCTAGCTACTTTTCAAAAAATTTTAAATGAATGAAAACATCATAAACTATAAATGGTTAATATTATCGATTGTCTTATAGGGTTGGTTGAGGGGGTAACATCTCATAGTGTTGTTGTGAGCGTTAAATAAGATGATGTAATGAGCTCAGCACAGCACCTGGTACTTAGCAAGCTCTTAAAATTGGTCACTGCCGTTCTCTTCAATACTGAGCGAATCATGGTCTGTTTTACCTGTGAGCTTTGGTACCTGCCATCCCTTTGACTGGAATACTCTCATCCTTCAGTTCCTGCCCATTCTCCAGGTTTCAGCTTAGAAGCAATTGCCTCTGGAAACTTATCTCCCTGGAGCTAAGTTGGAATAGATGGAATGGAAGTCTGGAATAGATGCCTTCTCCTGTATGTTTTTTTCATGCCCTGTACTTAACCAAAGCCCAGCATAGCATTTATCACACTGTATGGTAATGATGTGTGGTTGTTGTTGGTCTCCATCTGTAAAGTGGGAGTTGGACCAGATGATCTCTGGAGTCCCGTACAGGATTAGAATTTTGTGTCTCCTGAGTTTCTAGTCTTCACTTTATTTTGATTCTATTTTTATAAATAAAGCAAATTAACCACTAGGGGGCACCAATGAACAGCTTTTTCCAAAGGCAGTCATAATCAGATGATAGCTGCAGTGGTTTCTAAACCATGTGTGACCATGTGTAAGAATCATCTGGCAAACGTTTTTCTTTAAATACAGTGACTGGGCTCTCACTCACCTGACTGGGACTTTGGCATCTATATATATTTTAAAACTTTTTTACGTCATGGTTCATGCATTGCTAGCTTTGGGTATCTCTTTTGGTCTAGGGCAGTGATTCTCAAACTGTTTGGCCTCGGATCCCCTTTGCACTCTTAAAAATTGTTGAGGACCCCAGAGAGCTTTTGTTTACCTGGGTTATACCGACCAATATTTATCATATGAGAAATTTTGTATTAATTCATTTAAAAATAACCCATGGTGTTTTTGCAAAAAATAGCTATTTAAAAAAAGTGAGAAGAATGGCACCGTTTTACATTTTTGCAAGTCTTCTAACATTTGACTTAATAGAAGACAGCTGGATTCTCATATCAGCATTCAAACTGTTGCAATAAGTTGTTTTGGGTGAAGTATATGAAGAAATTCAACCTCACTCCGATACATAGTTGGAAAAGGGAGGAATGTTTTCATAGCCTTTGCAAATAATTGGGGGTATTCTTCTTTGATATTATATCATAACTCAGTAAGTGGTAGTTTCTTAAAGTTTAATTGTAATGTGGAGTCTCAAACATATCCATGAATTTTTGTATTGTTATATTAAAATGTGTTGTTCTATCTTGCACTTTGAATAGATTTATAATAGGAATTTATAGCATAAATTTATAACGTGATGCATTGGTCTTTTGGAAAATATTGATTCACTGAGTTATTCAGATATTCCAAATATTGACACATTTCATTACACAATATCAGAAAATTATATTTGTTAAAATCACCACTGATCTCCTCAGAAAAGTCTTTAAGTGTTAGGAACTAGAAGCTGCTGGTGATGGATACAAATTTTCCAAAATTTTGTATATTTTTTTAAAGCTCCAGTTTTATCATTGGCAACAGATACTCTTGGTTGTTTTTCTTGAAACGACAGGGTCACTTTGTTTTTGAGAAAACATCTGCCACATACTCGTGTTGAATAACCATAGTTTGTCTGCCAGTCATTCTTTGAAGAAAAATGGTGTGCCATGAAAAAAGGCAACTAGTTCAGCTTGGAAGTCAAACACACATTACTTTTCTTCAAGACAGCCTCATACTTTGGTATGCAGAACTGCTTTATGTGTTCCTCCCATTTTGTGACACATTAATATTTATAAAGATGTGTTCCCAAGGGTTGATATAATAAAATGAATAATTTTTACTTCCTCATCAAAGACAATCTTAAATGAAACTGGCTTTCTTTTCCTGTATTTGGCAATGGAGAACACAATGACTACCAGTACAGTGTGGTGCTTCTGCCTTGATTCATGCTAAGACACCAGGAGTTGCGCCCAGAAGTTGCTTTTGCACCATGAGTGTGCAAACATCAACACAATGAAAAAGGCAAATGATATTTCAGTATTATCATGAAAATAATTTTGACCTTGCAAACCCCCTGAAAAAGTCTTGGGACTGTGGACCACACTTTGAGAACCACTGGTCTGTGGTCTCTCACCAGTACTTTTAGTTGAAAGAAATTTTGGTAATCATCTGATACAGTTTTCCAAAGTGGAGCACACAGACTATAAGCATTAGAGGGGTGCTTGCTAAAAATTTGGACGCCCTGCACTAAACTTCCTGAATCAGAACCTCTGTGGGAAGGGCTCAGGAATCTTCCTTCTGAAGTTTTTTAGATGGTTCTTTTGTGCCCTAAATCACTGATCTAGTCTGACCCCTTTACTTTACAGAGAGTAAGTTGATCCCCAAGAGTGGCTTGCCCAGATTACAGCTAATTGAGGAGGAGCCTTCAAAGTGGCTGCTGCAGCACATCTCCCTTCTCTAGCGCCGTCTTCAGCCCACTTACACAAACCAGCTGGAGAAGCTGGGGAAGGACTAGTCTTTTTGTACTCATATATAAAGAACTGCACTGTTACCACCTTTCTCACATCAGTCACCCTCCTCTTCTCTCCTCTCCTCTCCTCTCCTCTCCTCTCCTCTCCTCTCACACCCCACCACATACCTTTTTCATTTCTCCATGGGTGGTAAAGATAATCTGGAATTTTTTATGTTTGTGTTTGGACTTGATACTTGTCTGTCTGTCTCTCTCTCTTTTTAATGAGATTTGTTTCACTTAATAATGGCTAGTTCAAGCCAGTATTAAAATGAATCTGTGTTCACTGGGTCCATGCTTTTGGAAAGGAGTCCTCAGCAAAGGGGTAGGTTCTAGGAAGGAATAGGAATACAGCATGTAAAGCATTGTCCTTCTTATTGGTAGAAGGTCTTAATATTGAGATTCAAATTTGTTAGAGTTACCTTCAGACGTCAGGGATATGTTCTGAACAACAGTTATTTTGTTGTGCGCATCCAATCAACACATAGTTGCAGACTTGGAGAACAGCACAGCCTGTGGCTCCCAAAGCCTGAACTAAGAAACAAAGGCTTGGTATCTCTGCCACTCAGTTCACTTGAGTGATAAGCTACATCTGGATCAAAAGATTTTCAGATTTCCCATTTATGTGTGCCCAGTGTCTGTGATAATTAAAGATGAGGTCTTGTCTTCTATCTATATTGCAGAATAATTCAGGGTAATAACAGCAGGTCAAAAGTGTGGTCCAGGGTACCTGAGACCCTTTCAGGGGGCCTGTGAGACTAATATTAATTTTATAATGTTACTAAGACTGTTTGTGCTTTTCATGCTCTTTCTCACAGTGTTCAATGAAGTTTTCCAGAGGCCGCTTAACTTGTGATATTGCAGTAGATCAAATGCAGAAGGAGATGTGAGAATCCAGCAGAAATTAAAGAGATTTGCAAAAATGTGAAAGAGTGTGACTCTTCCCCCTAAATGTAGCTTTTTTCATAAAAACTTATGTTCACATAATAGGTTTTTTATTGTTTTTAATTAATAAATAATTATTTAAAAATTTTTTCTGTTTTTATTTCTAATATGGTAAATATTGGTCGAGAGAACTGACATAAATAAAAGGTCTTTAGGGTCCGCAATAATTTTAAAAAACATAAAAGGGTCCTAATCAAAAAGTTTGAGAATTGATGACTAATTGTTAGGTGTTTATGACATAACCGAGCTGTAAGTCACCTGCATACTCTGCCTCATGCTAAAGATTTAAGATTGCAGGTCATAGTTTTTAAAATTTATTTCTCTTACTCTTTTTAAATCAGGTCTTTATTTATACATATTGAGTCTGGTTCTGTTGATTATGTTAGTTGATCGCAAATGATAAATTTTTTTATCTCTGAGGAAGTAAATAGGTCTTTAGTTAGTAATATCTTTTTGAAAGCCTTCAATTCTTCCTTCAGTAATGGAACTAAAGGTCACATGGATTGGCTGCAGGGTTAGATCGTTCCTTTCATAGCATTGTCTTGCCACATCAGTATCTCTGTGCAATATCTGAAAAAATTAGACATGTTGTCTAATTCTTGATTAATATTTCCAGGTCTTCTATCCAGTTGCGACACTGATTTGGGTGTATCATAAGATAGAATTTGGATTACTTACAAAAATTAGGAAGCAAACTAGATATTCTTTTTCAAAGTTATAGCTTGTAAAACTCTTAAAATTATTTTACACTTTTTTTCTTTTTCGTTAGTGTTCTTTGGTTGGCTTAAGATACAATTGCCTTTACCTCTTATGTCATTTCTCACAGTAAAAACTTTATCTTATTCTTTATTAAGTATTTATTGAGCCCTTACTAATGTCCCAGGTGTTGTGCTAGAGATGTAATCAAATGACATGCAAGATAGATATAGCTATCTCGTGGAGCTCCTCATGGAGCTTAGGGTCTTGCAGAGGAGAGAAATGTTAAACTAATTCTGATAGGAACAATTTATTTAAATTACAGGGTGCAGTAAGAGTATACAACAAGGGTCTTAACCAAGGCTAGTGTGGGGCAATTGCATGAAGTCAGGAAAAGCTTCTGTTAATTCCAAAGCCAAAGTTTTCCCTGGGCCATTGGTTGTACACCAGTGGGTTAGTTAATGGTCTTTGAAGAGTCATTTAGCTTAAATTTTCTTCATCATTCAACCTTTGGCTGTGTGGGTGGCTAGTAATTGATTAACTGGAAGAAATTTCCTTATGTTAACTTTGTGAGGACAACATCTAACCTAGTTGATTGCAGCCTATTGAGAAATTATCTATTCAGTTTTTCTACCTTTAGAGCACTGTAGTAGCTACTTTTGCTGCCATTATGACATATTTTGTATGACCATTTTCCCATGATTGTTGTATTTTATCCATCTGGTGTTAGAAATTTGTTTATTTAAAATAAGCTCTGGAAAAACCAGAAACTATTTTGAGTTGATATTTTCCTTTTTTGGCTTTCATTTTGATTGTTGGATTGGGATGAAAGATTGCACGTCTCTATTGAAATAAAACACAGAAACCACAGCAAAAAATGAGGTGCAGCTTATAAGAGATATGATGAAAAATTTAAAATATTCTTTGAATAAATGAGGGAAACAAGGAAAGCATTGTTTCTCTATTGGATGAGGAGATAAAGCTAATATCTTTTGCTTTTATTCCCTCCTGCCAAATTCGGATTTTTTAAAAAGAAAATGTGACTAGATAATCAAATCAAACTTACGCAATCTATAATGGGAATGGAGGAGACTTAATTAGAATAAAGAAACCAGATGAAAATTGCAGTCATGAGTTCTTGCATTAGAATTCGTCCCAAGGTCCTTAGAAACTGGAACAGCACCTGTACCAGTGTCTTAGCAGTGATTCTAAAGCTTTTTTGAATCATTGAATCATAAAGCCTTTAAGAATCTGATGTAAGCTATAAACCTTCTCCCTCATATGGATTTTGCCAACCAAAATCTATCCTAGGATCTCAAATTGTTCATCACAGAGCAAGGTTAAAAACATTTAGAGTTTATACTATCTCTGAGTTCACACCATGGACTAAATCATCTAAAAAACATTTTAGATAGTTAAAGACTTAAATTAAAAAAAAAAAAAAATTAAAACTCATGGAAGAAGTTATAGGTTAGTATCTTTCATACCCTGGAGAAAGGATAGGTTTCTTAAACAAGATATAAAAAGCATTGACTATAAAAGAAAAAATAGTTTTGACTATATTAAAATTAAGAACTTTAGAAAGTGGAGCAATGAAGCTTATATGAAAAGCAAGTTACAGACTGGGAGTATCCACAGTACACATAACTGCCAAATGATTAGTGTCAAGAATAAATTAAGAACTCCTACAAATAATTGAGAAAAGAACCAACAGCCCAATAGAAAAATGGACAAACAATATGAACAGGCATCTCGCAGAAGAGGAAAACATGGTCAGTAAACATGAACAGGATCTCAACGACCAGAGAAATGAATAACATTTCAAACCCAATTGATTGGCAAAAGTTAAAACATCTGCTAATACCAAGTGTTGAAGAGGACATGGATTCAAGGATCTCCTATTCATTGCTTGTAGAAGTATAAATTGTTACAACACTTTGGAAAAGGTTTGGCCTTTTCTCCTAAAACTGAACATACCCTATAGCCTTTCCACTTCTAGATGTCTACCCAAGAGAAATCACACACACGAATACCAGGAGATGCGTAAAATGAGTTGATCATAGTACTATTCGCAGTAGCAAAAACTAGGAATAGCCCAAGTGCCCATCAGAAAAAAGCTATAGTTTTCTTATAGTATAAATACATTATATATAGTAGTTAAAATAAATGAACAACATTGACACCCAACGATATAGATCAGTCTTAGCAATATAATAAGTCAAAAAAAGTAACGCCCAAAAGATTACATACAGCATGGTAAGCTTTTTTCTTTTTTGAATTGTTAAAAAAAACAAAAAAATTTTTAGGAATACATATAGATGAATTAAAACGATATAAAAAAGAAAGCAAGAAAACGATGAACCTGAGATTCCAGATGATGGGTGGGGAGAGGCAGGGGCTAAAATTGGAGGGGAGTGACCATGTTTATTGTGAGAGTGCTAACTTCTTTTGGGTGGTAGGTTCTGGAGTGCTTATTACTTCATTAAAAATAACTAATTAGATAACCAGTTTTTTAAAGAGAACCATGCATGTACCGGTGATGAAAGTGTTTGGAACCAACGGTGATTAATTCTGTTTTGTGCACCTAAGTTCCAGTTTAAAAAAAATTTTTTTCATAGTTACTGAGGAACTGTCCTAAAGATTTGCTGGACACATAGAGGCAAATAAGACATATTCCCTATCTTATGGTCTAACAGAGTAGAAGCAAGCATTGCAGTAAGTGGGTAAAGCCTTGTGCTAATCTTCGTGGTAAATAGAAGGGAGCAGTTAGTTCTAAAATACGTCTGGACCTTGCCTTCACTCCCCCTCACTCCACCCCCACCCCTACCCCGGCAGTCCCCCTGTCAGCATACATACTTGATTGATAGTGTGTTTGGATGTCTGTAGGATTGCTTGTTTCATTCTGTCTTATTACAAAGTTAATTGTCTTTGTCATATGTCTGTCTCATATATTCAACTTGACACTGTTCGAAGCCAAGGGCCTTTTATTATTATTCTCAGGCCCCAAAAATACCTTGAATAATACTCAAGTTTATTATTTCATTCAACAAAGATTTGAGTCCCTACTATGATGCAGGCATTGCATTTATGCAATAAATGTTTTAAAAATGAGCTAAAGAATACATGAATAGAGAAATTAGCAGGTATTTACTGAATTCCTGTTACATGTTTTGTGCTAGGATCTGTGGTGCTTAAGACATTAAGATATATTATTCTGTTTAGTCTTATTGTGGAGATGACTTAATCATAAAACAGTTAGAAAACAGTACCGTTGGGGATTTAGTGTAAATAACCTAGGAAATGACTCTGAAAATGTGGAATAGTGCATGTGAATAGGGAGAACTGCAATAAACAAGTGGTCTTGTCTTGACTTGCAAATTATATCTTAAACCAAAATTAAAAGCTACTGTCTTTGAATTTTCAATTTGCATGGGTGGGCAAGTTTCCAAATTTAAAAAGGCAAACTATAGAACTATGCAATACCAAATGTGTTTTTCACAAGCAATAACAATTTCTGTGAAACTAGCAGGCATATCACTTGTTGATTATAATCCATATGTAGTAGACTTCCTATTAAATATCCTTAGTTGTGTGATTGTGCTGTATAGCTGAAAGGTGTCCTACGTAAACACCATTTTGCAGATGAGGAAACTGAGGTCCATAAATGTGAAATGACTTTTAAAGTTGCACAGAAAATGAAAGGATTGGAACCCAAGTCTCCCCTCTCTTGATTTAGATTTTTTATGTTATGGGATGTTGCCATATGTGACCTAGATACTTCAGAGTTGCTGTGCATACATTTAGGTACCTTGAAAGCTTTTTTCACCATCAAATAGGTGACACTGTGAATTTTAAGAAAGCAGTATGAAATAGTAGAAAAGGTATTGACCTTTCCAGAAATCTGGAGACCTCAGTGCAACTTCAGATTCAGCTCTACCATTAATTGGCTGGTGACTCTAAGATTACCTTGGCCTTTGCAGATCATTTCCGCTTTGACATCTTCAGTGTCTCTTCCAGCTTTAATATCTTCTTAGCCAAAGCCAAACTGCAGTCCCTGTGATCTGGTATATGGGTGTCAGTACAACCAGTTTGATTAACCAATCATTCAATAAGCCTACACATGCCAGATAAAATTACCTAGATTCTTTGTGGTCCCGCATAACGTGTGCTCTTACCTGTTTTCCTTCTGAAAAGTAAACTCCTTGAAGGCGCTGACCATGTCTATTCACTGTAATATTCTCAATACATATTATATAGTAAGCACTCAGTAAGTCTGTTTTGGATGAACATCTATTTTCAGAACTGCTATTGCTTTAGACTTTCTCTATTTGCATTTTTTTAGTAAAGGAAAATAACAGTATTTAAAAACAATAGTAGTTTGCATACTTGGTATCTTAGCCATTTGTGAGTAGTCTTCATTTGATCATAAAGGATTTTTTAATCCTTTTTGTAATATGAACACAGTCCTTTCTCAGTAACTCATGTTTATTTTATCAATAACATATAGTAGAGATTCTGCATAATATAACAGCCTCTTTAACTCCTTCCGCATTGTAATAAAACATTGTTCTTTAGGAACGTGGAAAGATAAAAGCAGGTCTCATTTGCAAATTTACTTCATAAAGGTTTATTCTAATAATTGTATCCTTTATTTCTCTAGTTATAATCGCTGGTTATGTCAAGCAAGATCTGAGGATCTGTCTGATATTGCTTCTCTAAAAGCCTTATACCAAACAGGTGAGCTTAAAGATATGGTAACTTATTCTCATTCAATTAAGGATCCTACCTAGCATGCTATTAGAGACTTCATTTTTCTCTGACTTTGTCCATTTATCTGTGAATAAAATGTTTTTTGTACTAATGAAGATAGTTTTTGCTCATCATCAAGATCTTAAAAATAACATTTCAACCTATAAAATTTTCAACTTGTAGTTCTTCCTTGGCCGGCTTCATTTCTTCTTGATGTCCTTTTTCTTATCTTTTAAATTTTTTTCCTGCTTTTAAAAGTACCATATACTTGCTATACAAAATTCAAACCTTACATTAACATATAATGGTGACATATATGTCAGATGGTGTTATGACATAATGACATATGAGCTATGACATAACGGTGTGATATATTTATATAACATAAATATAGAACATAAACGTAACAGTGAAAGTTGTCAGATTCCCACTCTTTCTCCATTATATTTCTTTTTCAGACAGTACTTGTTAATTTTCAGATTTGGGTTCCGTTTGGTTTTTCTTGGATCACTAATGTTATTAAAAGTTGTAATGAGCTTAAACAAAAGCTGTTAGGAAAAGATCTTTGCGAGCCTGCCCGAGTAGCCTAGTGGGTTAAGTTCAGCACGCTCCGCTTTGGTGGCCCAGGTTTGATTCTGGGGCACAGACCTACAGCACTCATCTGTCAATGGCCATGCTGTGACGGTGGCTCACATACAAAAAGAGGAAGATTGCCAATAGATGTTAGCTCAGGGTGAATCTTCCTCAGCAAAAAAAAAAAGATCTTTGCCCTGCAACCTTACCTTTGTCTGTCCCTGATTTAAAACCTGTAAGAGGCCTTATCTTAAAAGTAAGGACAGTCATCAACACCTCATGAAGCTAAAAAAAAAAACCAGTGTTGTTTTCCACATAGTAAAAGAAATCTGAAGATGAAATTCGAAAAACTTGTGTTCCTGGTTTTCAATCTTTTACATTTGTGTAGAATATTTTTATAAGATCGGAGCCCAGGACAAGTCAAACTCTTGGAATAAAGTTTCTGGGTGCTGATTACATTTCCTGTTTGTAGGTGTCGATAACTGTGGTCGCACAGTGATGGTGGTGGTTGGAAGAAACATTCCTGTAACGTTAATAGATATGGACAAGGTAAGCCCTAAAAAGGCTCTGTTTTATGACTAATGTTGATTTAAAAAATAAGTAGGGTATGAATTTGGAATCAGGGCTTGGAATATGAGAAGAGGCAGAATTGTGTGTCTCTGACAGAGCAGCAGCCCTGGTTCTGCAAGTCAGCACGTATTGCTTCAGTAAGTTAGGGGTTTGGTTTTGCTCTGTAAGAGAAACAAAACTACTAGAATACCATAATGTGATCTCCAAAACACAGCTGCTTTGTTTAGGATATGACGTAACTGGCAAGTTTTTGGTTGGAATCATTCTGTATTATAATTGTACTAACAATCAAATTCTGCCTTTCTTGAAAAAAGAAAAATTAACTCTTGAGTGTCTACTAAAGAGAAGAAACCAGAGATGTAGTCAACCCAAGATATCATAATTCCATAATCCCTTCTTTTGGCGGCAAAGGGCAGAACTAGATGATTCATAAAAGAAGAAATGGTATTACTGGTAAATAAAAATAAGAAAATGTTCAACCTGGTTAGTAGTACGAAAAAAGGGAATTAAAATAAGATATCTTTTTTCACCTTCAAAATTAGCCAGAACTTTTAAACAATAATCATTGTCATCAAAGATGAATTGAGACTGTAAAAATGGTTACATCCATTGACTCTGTAGTTCCATTCCTGAGAATTTGTACTAAGGAAATAATCCAAAGTGTGGAAGTAGCTATAGGCCCTGAAACTGCCCAAAATGGAATTCTCGGGCAAGACACAAGTGAATACACAGGATAAATATGTAGATCTTCCTAAAACATAAGTTTTATTAGAAACTGACTGCAAAGGAGGAGAATCACCTTAACTAATCAATAATTCTTAACCATAGTAAAAAATTATGTACTTAAAAATGTAAAAATTACACACAATTTTAAGATAAAACATAGTTGTGCAAAAGCTGATAATTGCTTCTGGCTAAGTCCTTAGACTCCTGGTCACTGGTGTTTGGGTAAAAAAAATTATGAAAGCACTGGCCCTAGCATGTTACTCACAGGCTCATTTGTAGCACAAAATTGTGACTTAAATTCCTAATAGATAATTATGGTGCATCCACAAATAGAATGTTCTGTGACCCTTAAAAATTATGGTTATAGAGGCAAGTGCTATAGAGAATTGTTTATAATACAGTATCAATAGGAGAAAAAGTGATAGATTAAATTGTATTTACACTGACCTTAATTTTTGTTTGTTTGTTTTTAAGCAGAAAGGTAAAAACTGGAAGTAAATATCTTAAAATGGATTTCATGGTTTTGGGGAGAATTTGTTTTCTGTGTTTTTCTGTCATGTGGCTATACTTCTTTATAATGAAAAAAATTTAAGTTAAATATGGAAAATTGGAAGCTGAAAATGGGTCTCTTAATTGCAGTGGGGGTGGAGAGTGGATAGACAGAGGACCAGAAGCAGTCTGCTAAGAGCAAAAATAATAATAAAGATACACACACACACAGGAAAAACTCAACTCATGCAAATTGTATCGTTAGTAAGTTTTTATTTGCGTTCACTTGTTTTGTGTTTTTAATAGTATGACATTCTCACCATTAATAATGTGATTATACCAGTAAAAATGTAAATCGCAGCATTTGATTTTGGTGTGCACTTGCATGATGTTCTGGATATTCATGATGTATCATTTCATATAAAATAATGAGATATAGTGTGAGGTCCAAACCAGGTAGCACCTGGAAAGATACTGTGTTTTCTTAGTGCCCTTCTCTGTCTGCTGTGACAGCAGTTAGATCCTAAGCCATGTTAATGCCGTCATATTAATGCCAAAGACGCCCCTGAGGAGGAATCGGGGAAACAGCCTGTTTGATAGTAATCCTTCAGTTGTTATCTCTTAGCTTCCTCTTTGTCATTGTTGATGACTGCACTGCTGGGTCAGACTGGCTGCTTTGTGTTTAATATTTCTCTTAAATTGTAATGGAGTATTTCTCTAACCTATCTGAGTCACATTAAAATTGAGTCTTTCAGAGCTCTAGAAATGCTGCCCAGCCCATTGCCATCTACTGACTAAATCTGTTCTCATTTTCCTCACTCAGATCAACTGTAAAGATGCTAAGAAAATTAGCCCTCAAAATGAGCCATGTAAGGCATCACTTATAATGACCTTTTATAGTAATTCTTCATTCCATGACAACCATGAGTCTATATCTCAGTAGGAACTGCAAAGACTTTCATTGAATTCAAGCAGAAATTTCAAGAATAATTAAGTCTAGAAATTCTACTTATAATGATTTTGATATCATTATCCTAGAGAGGGAGAACCTGGTAGTTGACCAAAGAACTGTTGAATATATGAAGAGTTATTTGAGAGGCTAGAGACTGATTTTTCTCCTCCATCACTTAGAACAAGACAAAAAAGGATCATACTGTAGCATTTATAAAAATTATTAAACTGGCATGATTGACTTTCCTGAAGATCTTTTTAAAGCAAATTGAACTTATTAGTCTGAGATGTCCATCTGCAATACCTGGGGCGTAGATTAGATTCATCTTCTGGGTTTTTCCTCTCTCTTGGCCTCTGTGAAATAGACTACCAAGCAAAAAGATCTTTACCTTTACTCCTGTTTTTCTCCTAGGCGCTCTTATATTTTATCCATGTAATGGATCACATTGCTGTGAAGGAATATGTGTTAGTATATTTTCACACACTGACCAGCGAATACAATCACCTGGACTCTGACTTCCTGAAGAAACTCTACGATGTTGTTGATGTCAAGTTAGTTATTTTTGCAGATTATGAAGGGGGAAATAGCTTCTTTCTTTCTTAATATTAAGCAATAGGAAACATTGCTGTGTATTCTGTGAAGGGATATTTCATGTAACAAAGATTTTTATCTTACATAGATTAGATATTTTAATAATAGGAGGTCCTCCTTAACTCCAACTTATTTGCATTTAAGTAAATTCATATGTAAACTTTTTCCTGCTTTTGAACACCTTGAAAAAGGTTTGGGGTCCATTATCAATCTTTGTATATAAAATAACAAAAATACTGCCTTCTATTTATAAGGTGTGTTACACTTATCAAAATATATTTATAAACATTATTTCATTTAATCCAGTGACCCATGAGTTGTTTATTAATTTATAATCTGATCCCAGAGATTCTAGTGTTATATAAAAAAATGGCACACAATAAATTTGTTTGTTAAATATGACACACAATAAATCTGTTTGTTAAATATAAATTTGCTTTGTCCTACCTGTAGATAGATAAATGTAGATATTGTTTACATTTGAAAGAAGGGAAAATATGGACATTTGGAAAGGCAAAGTATATTGCCCAAGGTCTCACAACAGTAAATGCAGAACTTGGACTTGAATCTAGGCTACTGCCTTGGAGCCAGAAAATTATTTTCATTAAACCATATTTTGCTTGAAGTGATAATGAAAATTTTAACCAGAATATATATGACACTCCACTACAGCAAAGATAAAATGTTCTGCTTTAAATTTTTTTCTCATTAATAGATTTTCTAAACAAAAATAGCACTCTATCCTCCTGGTAGCTGTTTTGTTATTGGTAGCATCACATTATCTTTATGGATTGCATTGAAAAATCCATACTACAATTAGTGTACAAAGGAGGCAAATTACCATAAATTTCCAACCAGCTTACTCCTCCCATTAAATCTCATCTTATTTAGGAATATTAAAGCTTTCATTACCTAATAGACACCTTTTTAGCTTGCTCTGAATGTGGATTGTATAAGTGTAAGGAAGCTTCACTCCACTGTAATTCTGCCTCTACCACTAGCCAGCTCTTTAATTTTGAACAGGCCTCAACTGTGAAATGAAGAGTTTGTATTATTTCTCTGAAGTCCTCTCCAGTTAACCTTATGTGACCCAGTAGTGACTAATAGGCTGTTGAAATAATTCCAGGCACACCTGGAGAGGCTAGACTGCATAGTGGATAAGAGCAGGGTTCTGGAGCCTATTGCCTAGTTTCAATTTATGGCTCTACCACTTGATGACTGGGTGACTTTGGGAAGGTTAAAATAGAGACAATGATAGTACTAAGCTCATAGAATTGTTATGAGAATTAAGTTAAAGTCTTTGTACAATTTCTGGGACATAGTAAACTCTCTATATTTATTATTGTAATATGACCATTGAAACTTTTACTTTCTAATTTTGCTATAATTTTAAGTGGTTTACTGTTGTTTACTTCATAGCCTGATCCCAGAGATTCTAGTACCATATAAAATAATGACACACAATAAATTTGTTTGTTAAATATGAATTTACTTTGTCCTACCTGTAGGTGGCTCTATCACAGCCAAGAGAAACACTTAATATCTCCTATAAAACAAACTTTAAATAATAAAATGTTCTCCAAATTGTTTTTGACATTTCACCTAAAATTCATTATGTAAACTAGAGCTGTTTAAAAACATTTTTTTTCCTCCGTGAATATATTTATATATACAAGCAAAGAGTTAATTGTCCATAATGGTGACCGGTTTTAGGCATGACTTATACTAATACTTTTTTTGATTTTGAATCAGGTACAAGAGGAATTTGAAGGCTGTTTATTTTGTTCATCCAACATTTCGTTCAAAGGTATAGTATTTTTCTTTTTAGCCAAATCTTGAACTTAAGTGCACTGCATGCCAGCGTATTAAAATATATTTCAACATCTTAATTCTTGCTTTCACCATTGTGACTGCTTATTTCTTTGTTTACTCTTCCTTTGTAAGTGATCTCGAGTTGTGGTTCTAATGTTTTGGTGCCATGTAACTCCAGTATCTTTGTAGGCCATCGTGACAAGCCATTAGCCTCTCAGTTCTTGCCTCTTCATGTTCCTTGTTCATCCGGGCTTTGCCCATGCTGTTGGTACAGAATATCTTTTCTCTCCTCTGCTCATAGCTAACTCCTGTTTGTCCTTCAGATCTCAGCTCAGCAATTACTTTCTATAGAAAACCTTCCCTGACCAATCCTGTAACTAGTAAGTGCTTCTACATTGTACCCCCTTAAGATTTTACAGTCTTCTATCATCATGATATTTTTAATTCTGATTAGTTGTTTAATTTTCTACCTTATGTGTTAGCCTGCAAGATCCATGAGAGCCAGAATATAGCTATTTTGCTCACAGTTATATCCCTAATATCTAATCCTACATCTTGACTACATCAAGACATGTAGTCCTTTGTTCCTTTTACTTTTTCTGAAAATGTCATTTTTTCTGTCTTTATTTTCTTTGATATCCAACCTGAAACCCATGTTCCATCCCTTTAGCCACTCTTGTCAATGTCTAAAATAACCTGTGACCTCTCACCCTTTCTTCACACTTACCCATCAAAACCCGATCTTGAGATATCCATCATTCTGCTTTCTTCACTCCTGTATCTGAGTTGCTGAGCACTGATGGAGAAATCATGGAGCTGTGTGAATTTGGGCTCCTTGGCAGACTCACGGGGCTTTCACGATTAGAGGTCCCTTGATATTTCACTGGGCTGTTGCCCAGTGTGGCTCTCTGCTCTCCTCAAGCCCTGTCCTGTCAGCAGCTCCTCACTCCAACACATGGCCTTGCCTTGTTCTTAACTAAGAACATAGAAAACGTCAGTAGGGAGCTCCCTGTCTTTTCCCTCCCACCCCAAACTTACCTGCCATCTATTCCTATCATTGCCTCCTTTTTCTCTGTCACAAAAATGTGTTTCCTCTTAATGAAGGGCAGTCCCTCTACTCATGCTCTGGATCCCATAGTAATAACAACAGCTAATGTCTTCCTAGCACTTACTGTGTGCCAGTTTTTCCATGCATTATCTTATTTAAGCCTTATAATATATCCATGAAGTAGACAGTAGTATTATTCCCATTTTATGGGCAATGAAATTGATGCTTAGAGAGATTAAATAACTTTTCTGAGGTAAGTAGCAAAGGGTAGATTTAAATCTAGGTATTTTAATTCCAGAGCCTACACTTTTAACTACACGGTGTATTTCCATTTCGTCAGGAACCTCTCCACAGCAGTTATCCTCTTTCTCCTCTCCCATTTTTCCAGATCTAACTTTTCAACTTTTAAACATGCTAAAGCCTCCACTTCTCCCCTTTAAAAGCAGAATTTTTTAGCATAATCTATATTCTATGCTCACCATCTCCATTTTTCATACACCTTAAATTACTCCAATCTGGTTCAGATCCCACCATGGCCACTAGAACTACTCACACCAAAATCGCCAATAATCTTTGTGATACTGATACCAATAGACACTTTTCTGTCTTTTTCTGACCTGTTTTCCCTCCACCTTAAACACAGTTGATCACCTCTTCCTTGAAACACTCTGTCTTGGCTTCTCGGACACTTCCCTTGCCTAGTTTTTCTTCTACTTCTAGCTACTCCTTCTCAGTCTCCTTTGCAGTCCCCTCCTTCTCTGCTTATCCTTTGAGTGCTAGTGTTCCCAAATCCTCTGCCCTTTTCTTTCATTCTGTGCCTTTTTTCATTCCTGTGTCTTCAACAACTCTCCAAAATGTATGCAGTTCCCAAATATGTGTCTGGGGAGGCAGTAAAGCCTAATGTTTAAAAGCATGGGTTTGAGATTCAGGTAATGTAGGTTCTGATCCCAGCTCTACCAATTATCAACTTATCATCTCAGACAAGTTATGTAACCTCTCTGTGCTTTAATTCATCTTCTATAAAATGGGAATAATAATAGTACCCACCTTGTAGGGTTGTTGGAAGGATGAAATTGGTTAATACATGTAAAATGCTTAAAACATTACCTGACATATAATAAACACTCAGTAAATGTTAGCTATCCTCATCATTCCTGTGTTTAGACCTGCATGTTGAGCTGCTAATTAGATATCTTTACTTAGATGTGTTACAGGCCCCCGAAGTTCAACGTTTTAAAGACAGAACTACTTGCAGCCTCCTCCCCACTCACTCCCAAACTGCTTTTTATATTACCTATTTTAGTAAATGGGACCACTGCCTACCCAGGTGTGTAAGCCAGAAAACAGGGAGGCATCCTTGAATACCTTCTCTACCTCACCTCTCACCATATTGCATCAATTCTGTGTGCTTACTATTGTCCAAATCCATGCCTGTGTCTTTAGTCCCACTGCCCCCACTTTAGTTCATCCTGTCATCATCTTTTACCTGAAAGGATACAGCAACCTCCTAATCAATATTCATGTTGTCCTGCCTCCAGTATAGCACTGTTCCTAGTGCCTTCAGGCCTGCCTAGTGAATTTTTCTTATAATGTAAATGTAAGAAGCCTAAAATATTTACCAAATAGTCCCTTGCAAAAGTTTGCCAGCCTTGGTCTAGGCAAAAAAAAAAGGAATCTGAATATATTAGTGGGGTTTGGAGAAAAACTGACTTATTTGGGCATAACAACCCAGGATTTAGTGATGTATTAGATGAGTAGGAGTGAGCGAAAGAACTATGTCATCGTGACTCCCGTAGGGATCGTGGATTGGGATATAAATTTGAGAGTAAACATTAAGTAAATAGAGCTTTAACTCTTTAAATGTGTTAATGAATAAAATCACAGAAAGACTTAGAGCAAAGAGGAGGACTAAAGACAGAGCCCTGGGATCAGGGTAGGAGACCAAGAAGAAGTAATCTAAAAATCAGCAGGAAAAACAAGATTGGCTAATGCTACGGGAGCTAGTGGATGGGAAAATGTCAAAGACAGTAGAAATAGTCATTATTTTAAAGCACTGTTGAGAAATTAAGATAAATAGTGAAAAGTCCTCTTATGCTTCTTAATTAAGAGATGAATGAAGACTTCAGTGAGAGAATGTTTTCCACTTTGGGATTTCTCATAGTTTACAAAATTGTTGAGTTTCTCATCCAAATACCATTTCTAAAATTTGCATGAAGTATTTTTCTTTTAAAAATTGCAGATTTCCGTTTGGTCCCTCAGTGTTAGAGCAGCACAGTAAGTGCTAATCAAGTGCCTATGGGAACACTGATTGGCCAAGCTAAAAAACAGCAACAGAAGTATAGTGTGAACAGTCAAATGAACGGCTTTTCCTACTCTTTGTTCAGTTACGTTCTTACTACATGGTCTTATCAGATAATGTATATTGTTAACTTTCCCACTATTTTGTTATGCTTAGCATGTGGCTGCTTTTTTTCTTTCTATAGCACTTAAGGAAGTAGTGCTTGACCGTTTCCCAAAATCTCATCATTCATTTTTTGCTCATCCAGTAGCTACTGAAATTTTTTCTTTATTGGAGACAAACAGAAGAATTAGCTTGTCTTTAGTGTGTCTTTGCAAGAATGTCTGCTCTCCCCACTGCTATTCAGTATTGTACTAGAGGTTCTAGCCAGTGTAATGTGGCAAGAAAAAGAAATGAAATGCATCTAGATTTAGAAAGGAGTAAATAAAACTGTCTTTATTCACATATGACATGATTATCTATGTAGAAAACCCTATGGTATCCTCAGAAAAGCTATTAAAGCTAATGAGTAAGTTTTATCAAGGATTCAGTGTTTAAGATCAATATTCAAAAATCAGTTGTATTCATTAGCAACAGGCAATCAAATTGGAATTTTAAAAGCAATGTAATTTTCACTAGCATCCAAAATATTAAATTCTTAGGGATAGATATGACAAAAGATGTGAAAGACTTGTACACTGTACAAGTTATGTATACTGCAAAACATTGATGAGAGAAATTAAAGGAGACCTAAATAAATCAAGACATATACTGTATTTGTGGATTAGAAGACTTAATGTTATTAAATTGTCAATTCTTGCTAAATCTGTAGATTCAATTCATTCCCAACCAAAATGTCAGCAAGGTTTGGTAGAAATTTACCAGTCAAAATGCAAAGAATCTAAAATAGCCAAACCAACTTTGGAAAAGAAGAACAAAGTTGGAGGAACAACACTATCTGCTTTCAAAGCTTATTCTAAAGCTACAGTACTCAAGACAGTGAGGTATCAGCATAAAGATAGACATAGACAAATAGATCAATGGATCAGAATAGAGAATCCAGAAATAGACTCATGTATATATGGATAACTGATTTTTGACAAAAGTGCACAGTCAGGTTGGTGGAAAAAGGATAGTCTGTTCAACAAATGATATTATACTGGAACAACTGGATATCTGCATGCAAAAAAATGAACTTTGACCCATGTTTTGCATCACATTCAAAAATTGGCTGAAAATGGATCAAAGACCTAAATGTAAAATGTAAAACTGTTAAACTTTTAGAAGAAAATATAGGAGAAAAAGCTTTGTGATCTTGAGTAAAGCAAAGATTTCTTAGATACAACACCAAAAGCGCAATTCATAAAAGAAATTGAACTTCATCAAAATTAAAACTTCTGCCCTTATAAAGATAGTTAAGAGAATGAAAAGACAAGCCACAGCCTAAGAGAAAATCTTTGTTAATAAAGCATTTTTCTGATGAAGGACTTGTCTTTAGAATATATAAAGAAATCTCAAAAATCAATAATAACTCAGTTTAGAAATGGGCAAAAGATTTGTGCAAACACTTCACCAAAGAAGATATAGAGATGGCAAATAATTATTCATTAGAAAAGTACAAATTAAACCAAATGAGATATCATTATGGCTAAAATTTAGAAAATTGTCC